GACTTTTCACAGAATGTCTGGACGGATCCCTGATGTAGTAAAAAACAATACCAAAAAGTTTTTTTTTTTTTTTTTTGACATGACGGTTAAAACAAGATAAAACCGTCAATTGTCAAAAACTTTCCAAAGTGGTTAAAAATATTTTTTGAGTGCTGGAAAAGTGGTTAAAATGTGCTTATTTTTTGTTGAATAATTTAGCTACGCACCCTGGGTAAACCTTTCAAAATTTACTTTAAATGACACACAAACAGGATACCATTCACTGCCTGGTATTCCCAATGTCATTAAACTTGACTCACAGTTTTACACAGGCAAATCCTTATTGACGTGCATATAAATCAAGCTCTTTGTTGACAAAACAAATTTTCACAAACGTCACTCACTCTGCTTTGACGTCATTATACAAGACCTTCAGAGTTCTAGAAAAGATAATACCCGAATTAAATGTATTTCGGAAGCTGTTATCTCCTACTAGATTAATCGTAATCTAACACTGTATTAACCATTAGAAGTTTTAATGATAAATAGACTTCTAAGAATGCTTCTGATAATTAAAATTGATGTAGCAGGAAAGTTTAGAGATTAAATTTTAAATATATAATTTTTTAAAATAAATTTTAAATGAGAGTTCTGTAAGCATGATAAATGCTAAATAAAATTAAAGATATGTACAAAGTTGTTTAATGTGTAAACACCTGGTTAAAGTTTTGTTTGCCTTTGTACCTCATGGAATGGGACAAGGGTTTAACCCTTTTTTAGCTGAATAATTTCTAGAGTAGATTTTTTTTTGTTGTGCTTTTTGATTTTGCTGGCGCAAGTAAATACAGCTATTTTATTTACTTATTTAAGAAGGTAACTCAAAAAAAAAGAAGAGAAAGAAAAAAAAAAGTTTAATTTACTTGCACCTGCTAACATTGCATTGGCAACTCTACCACTTGTGCCGACGAAATGGAAAAGAACCTTTTTTAAAAATTTCTTTTTTCATTATTTTTCCATTTAATTTTTTTTAAAAAATAAACTAATTTAGTTTACTGTTAAAACAATTTTCCCATTTTCTTTATTGACCAGGTCAATATAATAATTACAAAAGGGGAGGGGGAAGCACTATTTAAAGGTTTATATAGGTAAATAAGTTTGTAAACCACAATAAAACTCTTTAGCGGGAATGTTGTGGATGGGTACCTGGGGGTATCACTGTACTCGTAATGATTTTTCAATAAAATCCGGTTTTTTTTATGAATTTGTATTATCTTTTATTTATTTATTTTTTTGTAAAAATTTGAAGTTCTTGAATTTTTATGAATGTATATTTAAATTTTAAATAGAATAAAAATGAATACATATGTTGCTTAGTGTTTGTATTTTGTAATTAGCTTTTTAATTTTATGTTTGTTTAGCATGGAATTATGTTATGAATTTAAGTTTACTTTAAAGTCTTCATAGTTAAAAGAATTTCACACCAAATGCAGTTTGATGGAAAGTTTGAAAAAAATGTGCATAAAATTTTTGATTTTTTAGCATTTCCTCACTGATACCTTTGCCACTATAAGACAGCTCTTCAAACTAAAACCCCCATATCAATTAAAAATAGATCGAAAATCCTCAAACCCCGGACATAAAAAAAAGTTCTTCTCAACAGAAAACTATACAACTCTTTAGTAAGTGATTAAATGTTGCAGGATCTAGCCTGTCATTTTTATAGCGAGAGGGGAAGAGGGAGGCATAAATTTTGCTACTTAGACAAATGAGGCATTGTTTCGGATGTATTTTTTGATGCTGAATCCAATATCGGATCATATAACTCATATGAGACAAAATTCGTGATGATAGGACTAATGAAAATTGCGTACAAAATCTACAATCCTCGACTTGTACATATTTATGACTCTGTGGTTGCTGTCTAGACAAGTAAAAGTATTGCTTCTTATGTAATTTACTAGCAGTTGATTAGAATGAGACTAAACTCAATAATTGAAAAAGTAAATACAGTACACTCTCGATTATCCGTGCGCGGATTATCCGGTTTGCAGATTATCCGTGCTCATTCCGGAGTCACACAAAAAATAAAAAGAGAAACATTTTCAAGATTAAAAAAATTTGATTCATGAAGTTATAACACTACCAAGTTTTTGGAAGCAATATTCGTTATTGGATTGCAGTATATGGACCATCAGCAGAATGGTCAAAGGTAAAATCGTCTACGTTATCACGATCTTGGAGAAAGATCATACCGCTTGATGAACAATCTTCTTCAGATGTTCAAGAAAAATATGATAACAGTATTCTCGAACAAGCTAAGGTTTCGAAATTCTTGATGAAGAAAATTTAGAAGATTGGTTTCAAAGTGATGCATGTGAGCCTGGCTTCCAGTATTTGACTGATGAAGACATCGTTATGTTGTTAAATCAAATAGTGATGATAGTAACTGATGCAGAAGATGTAGTAAATGAATAAAATACAATTTCTCATTCTGCTGCTCTGTGGAAACTTTATTAGAATATATGGGAGGATTTGATTACGGTGACATTACTGCGGTTCGTAAAATATGTGTATCGATATATGGCGAAGACGCATTACACATTTTTTAATAAGGAAAATTCCTAGTTTGATGTTATGCATGCAAATGTCAGTAATTTTGATATCTTATGTACTGATATTGAATTTTTCTTTAATAAAAGGAGTTTTCGGATTATCCGTGTTTTTCGATTGTCCGTGTGACCTATTCCGGTGATTAACCCGGATAATCGGGAGTGCACTATGTTAAAAAATATTTCTAGTAGGTAAGAGAGTGCAAGATTTTTATGCGTAAAAAGTACAATTTTTTGTCTTTCGGATGCACAAGAGGCTTGTGTAATTTTTTGTTTCCTATTTTTTACTACGAATAATTGAATGAACAGATCGCTAGGATGAATAATGTAGAAGTTATAAGAGTTTTAATGAATTAAAATGTACAATTTTTTATTTATTCACCTTACGGTAACGATATATGGTAAAGAAGTTTCAGCCCTAACTTCCATATCCAAACATTAAAATTCTACCTTGCTGAAGACTGTTAAACTTCTCTTAATAAGGAATAAATGCACTACCTCGCTCACTGAGCTTAAGCGGTTCTTAATGAAAAAATAATCTCTCTTTAATTCGATAAGATAAATATAGACATAAATGTTTGATGAATGAAACTCTAATGATTTCTAAACTACTTGTCCTGTAGACTCGAGTTTTGTGTCATTCTATTCATCATAAAAAATGTACACAATACTTAAGTTGTCTAGATATTGTTAAAAGTCTAAATAAATCCTAGTCAAAAATAGAACTTTTTTACATAATTTTTTTTTAGAACTTCTGAACTGTTAGTCCTTTCGACATGTGTTAGGTTTCATTCCATAAAATAAACGAAACAATATTTCATTTGTCTAGGTAACAATATTTAATGTTCTCCCTTATAATCCTCTCAGGGGGGACCCCACCCTGAGATGGTAAAATATTAACGTTTTTCTTGAATTTTTTTTAAGTAATAGAGTCAATGCAGAGACTTCTTGTTTTTCTTTTTAATGTTATTTAGCTACAATTTAAGTCTATTTTAAAAAATTTTCTTTCACAAAATAATAAAAAATAAGTTGGTAGCAGCTCCGTGTGTGGCTGGTCATCAAAAAGTAGCACCTCACTGGCCTCATGGATTTAGAAGTCCTGAAACATAGAAAAACGATTTTGTTTAGATTTTCTGAAACATAAAGACATTATCTAAAAAGTAGCATAGCGGTTTTTTGATATTCACAAAATTACCAAAATGGTGGCAACTTAAAAAAAAAAAGTTAAGTTTTTCATTAAAAAAATATTCATTAAAATACTAATTTAAAATCGAAATATAAAAATATCACAAAAATCCTTTGCTACTTTCTAAAGAACATATTTTTACGTAATTTAAAATAAAGAACAGCTTATTTCGTTGTATAGATCATGAGAAAAACGTTAGGCCAGGCCGCGTTTAAAGTTTTGACTTATGGTAGGGGAAAACGTTTAATTTCATAAATATAATGGTCGATAAATGAAATACCTACAATAAGTTTCTATTTGCAGTCAACAGAATGGATGAGACAAAAAGAATGTCGTCCCTCCTAATCCGGCCGAACGGGCCTTTCTACCTGCTTAGCGACGACTCTCTATTTTCCGGTATAACTTCCAAACGAAGTTGGGTACTGAGAAATCGTTTTAGACAGACATTAGGAAGAGTACAAAGATTCGAAAAACGAAATGAAATTTTTTTCGAATTTTTGAAATATTCAGGTTAGGGTCCCCCCCTTAAGTAGATTTTTTTCTTCTCGATGCCAAGGTTGAACCCTATGTTTACAATGCATTCAAGTTGTGTTTCTGACTAGCAACTCTAGATTTAATAAAGTAAATTGCTGGCTTACAAATGAGTCAAGTGTGTTATATGAAATACATTAAAAAATGGAATTGTTTATTGCAAATAGAATGTGGGCTTTTAGTTGAAATGTGATTTTTTTAAAAATAGTTTAAAAATGCGAAAAGGCAGTGTTTGCATTAATAATTTTTCAAAACACTATTTTTTTTAAAATACTAATACATCTTTTTTCTTGATAATCGAGAATTTTTTTTTTTTTTTGCNAATCGAGAATTTTTTTTTTTTTGCATGGTAAATGGATGTTGAATAACATAGCTAAAAATTGATTCTCAGTTCAGAATCATTTCTCATCACGAATTTTTAAAACTAATATTGAATGCTCAGTTTAGAAATTTTTTTTTTTCTGCTTTAGATATTGATTTTAGTAGACCCTCAATGTGCCTGGTTTTTTTACTTAATTTTTTCACTAGGGTTTTACAAAGAATTCTCAAGGGCAGTCAAGATGGTATGTGCAAATTATAAACATTAAAATGGCTCAGATTTTATGATCATGACTCTAATTATATTGAAATAAAGCAGCTTTGATAGACAGTTTAAAAGTCTTTGAATAGAAACTGAAAAATGTTTTTCTTTTTAGGGATTTAAAAGTTGTGATGGTTGGTGATGCATCTGTTGGAAAGACTTGCTTAGTTCTTAGATATATTGACAGACAGTTTCAAGAGTCAGTTAGTGTAAGATTTTATTATTTTATTTTACTTATTGGTGTCATTGTGCCTCACCTTTTAGACTGCATATTATTTGCTATGAAAGAAGTGTTATTGCTAGCTGAGTAAAAAAGTTTGAAGAATTTATCGGCTGCAAAGATGCTCTGCTCTAGTAAGCTCTAATCATATTGCAATCATAGTAAATAAATAAACGTAGTATTAAAGAGAACGATTTAAAATTACATTTCTACTCGAAATTAGAATTTCTAAGCTTTTTTACAATTCGGTGTAAATCAGCTTTATGTAATCAACAAATGCGTTTAAAATTTAATTCTATATATATTACCTTTTCTTTTAAACAATATAATTGCTAATTTATTTATTTCTAATTATTAAAAACAATTTTTGTTTCATTTGATAGATTTTTCAGAGAGTTCACATTTTGAGATATAATTTACATATTAAGTTCATTGCTAAGCACTATTCAAGATGAAATGAAAGAAAAAACATGTGTATAATATTTTTTTACATATAATTGAGAAATACTGTTATTTACATTTTGTTATTATTTGTCTAATAGGAAGTTGATTTTTTTATAAATACCGTCAAAATATCCTTATCATTTGTTACTTATCGAGAATACTATTTCACATTAAAAACCTAAGTATAACATAAATGTTAATTAGAAGTTGCTTAAATTGTTTTGCTCGTTTTGAATATTTTGCTCACAGATATTTGTTAAACTTCATTTCCTTAAATGTTATAATAAAATGTAGTTTTAAATAAAATAGTGCATTAAATTTCAATATAAGACAAAATGTAAGACAAAAAGTTGAAATATAAAACAAAACATAAGAGCAAAATATAAGACAAAAAGTTGAAATTGTCTTTTGAACTGTGAAATTAGAATATAATTGAATGTAAAGATATTACTTTCGCAGAATCCAGTGCAAATATTTATGCATTATACGAAATTTTCTTCCGTGCTGAACATTTTAAATCTCCATATCTCTGGTTTTAAATATGAAAATTGTTCTGTTTTTCTTTTATTGACTTAACAAAGCTCTTTATAGATTAAGCAACCCATTAAATAGTTATATAGAATTTACAAAAATAGAGCTGATGCAGAACAGTTTTCTTATTTGAAACCAAACCAATGCATCAAATATTGAGAAAATTTATTTAAATATTTTTACTTCTATACTTTTGGTTTTAAATATGAAAACTATTCTTCTGTCTTTATGTTGAATCTTCAAAAATACAGCTGATGCAGAGCAGTTTTTCTATTTGAAACCAAACCAGCACATCAAATATTATGAAAATATATTTAAACATTTCAGACAATAAACATATTTTTTTTCCTTCTAAATTTGTAAATATATAATTGGATGTTTGTTCTATATGAAATGAACTTTTTGGTATTTATATATTTATTCATTGCATCCTTCAAGGAAAGATCTTATCTTTTTCCCATCTGAAAGCTGAATTGATCTTTGAGATATTTTACCTTATTTATCATGATTTTCATTCTTCTTTCTTTTTTCCTTAATTTTGTAAAAAAATGTTTTTTTGTTCTTTCTTTTTGCTTTAAAACTAACGGGGTAAAGTGTTTTTTACAACTAGCATACAATACAAATGTTTTTTAATTCATTGCAAATGTCCTATAGGAAATAAAGTACTTTTTTTTGTTTTTGTTTGTATGGTTTGATTTTTATAATTTTCTTGTCTCTGTTATGTCATATGTGTTATATGTATTGGAAAATGTTACAAAATATCAATCAATGTCTATTTCAGACCATAGGAGCTGCCTTTGTTTTAAAATCATGGGGCTATTACAATATTGCCATATGGGTATGTAACAAAAATTCCAAAATATGTGTTACTCTTTACTTTATTTAAATTGTTAATGTTTACTGGTTTCTGTAGTTTTTTTCTTTCTTTTCTGTGCAGCATGTTCAACATAATCTAAATTTTGCTCAATACTGCTAGCAAAATTAATGTGTTATGGCGGCAGGTGCCTTAATTTATTTTTGTCTTGTGGATAAAAAATAGTAAATACAAATATCTAATTACGATTTCTGCAGATAAATCTTAGAATGTTTCTCATGTGTTGCAGATTCACCAGACAGTGTTGTAATGCATTGAGGTTTCTGTTGATGGGTGCTAAACTTGCATAAGACACACAAAATTTATTTTACATTTACGAAAATCAACATGAAGGAAGATATTAACCAGATAAAATGTTTTGGATTTTGAAGATTTTTTTATTAGGTTTTTTCAATGAACAAATTTTTGCATAATTTTATTGCTATTTTTGTGATATTTCTGTAAATTAAAGTAAAATCCTTTGTGATCAAGCTAAGACTCTTAAGAATTAAAGCTAAGAATTAAGAATTTTACTTTTTTCCCTTTTTAAACAAGTCTTTTTTTTTTTTTTTAGATTACTTTTTGAGATTTGGCAAAATAATTTAAAAACCTAATTTCTTTCGATTTTTGTTCCCAAAATATAAGAGAATAAAAAAGAACATATATAAACATGAAATTATAACATGAAATTTATAAACATGAAATTTCTGTACAAATGAAAATAGATATCTTTTTTTATTTAAAACTAGAACCTCTAATAATTTTTTTACACTATTTCTTGTATTTTTTTTAGTAATCATAGTAAAAAGTATGGTTTTAATTTCAAAAACAAGACATACTTATTTTCTCCTTTTGTTAGGTTATAGAAGGTAGTTTTTTCTCCATTTCTAGTCTTTTATTTTATGTTATTCTTTGTTTAGGGACCTCATAGAATAATTGAAACGCAATATACATTTTTGTAGACCCACAAAACACTTATAACGAGATAAATAACATATTTGTAAATTTTTTCCTTTCTGATTTCCACTTAATACACTGGAGAGTTGGAGCAATGTTGCCAAATGGAGCATGGGCCGACATGCAGGGTAATTAAGGAAAACGTTTATCCCAAGAAAAACACCGAATTTCGTGTACATAATAATTTAGACGGGGAAGTTTTATTTTTTTAAGCACATTCCAATAATACCTTTACTCACAGATGAATATTACGAAGAAGGAATTTATCTTCTTGAACATTTATTTATTTGATAATATAGATTGAGTTATTTTCTAGCAATGGGTATTTATTCTTTTTAGAAATATTTCTAACTCAGTAAAGTACTTTCAAAGGATTGAGAATCACATAGCAATCTATTACCAGAAATGATTTGTGCACCTTGAATTATTACATTTTATCTAAATTATTTTAATTTTATGCTAATTTTTTGTGTTTGGATAATTATTGTCAGTTATTGCTTTCAAATAAGCTCAAAAATATCTACGATTTAATGATTTGACGAGCAACATGGCGAGCTTTTCAAAAAGAAATGTAATTGTAGGGAAGCTGATTTAGTGGCATACGATGAAATTTTTGGCAATTCTCTATCCTTTGAAAGTGCCTTACCTCTATACCAGTTTCTTATACCCTTTTCTGTCAAATTACAAAGCTCTGCTAATTTCAAAAATTTTTTTTTTCTCTAACGTTTTTATTTTAACTTAAATTTTTTTCTGTTGCACAGGATACAGCAGGTGGAGAGAAATATGCTGGATTGAGCACATTTTACTATCGTAATGCTTCTGCTGCAGTCTTAGTTTTTGATATTTTTGATCGTAAAAGCTTTGAAACTCTGCTGTAAGTTTTTTTATCACAATTTTATTTTACTGATCCATAGTTTTTATTTTTGAAGGATGAATTGGTATTGTTGTATTAAATAAATATTCTTCTGAAAATTATGCATTTGTTTTTTATTATAGTGTAGACTATAAATTTTAGAGTCTTAGGATAGCCAGATAAAGTCAGTTTCTATTGCACTGGAAGTATGTTTTAAGAAATGCATCAGCACATGCAAATTAAGTCACATTAATATTATATATGTTTATGTCTTAAAATGCAAGAATTCTGTTTCTCTCCAAGAAAAATAAGTTATTTAATATGGTAAAATGCAAATTTTAGTGTGTGATGAGGCATTGTATGAATTATTGCAAAACTGCATCTTCAAATAAAAATACTGTACTCTGAATTATTTATTCAGTTACATGTTTATTGATTTAAATGCTAGTGCTTATAACAAACAAGCTTTTAAAATAAATGTCTGTTTAGTTTTGAGAATTTATTTTTTTTAAAAGAAAAAAATAAGCTTTGAGTTGTTTATGCTCTAAATTAAGATCCATATAATTTAAAAAATCTTCGTAACACATGATAGTGATGTGTAAAAAGTATCAGAAGTTATTTATGACTCAACATAAATTATTTAGTTCTATTTTTTCACAGAGTTGTTATAGAAAAGATAGAAGTTATAGAAAAAATACTAATTACAAATTATTATTATGTGAAACTATTTAACATTTTCTCAGTTAGAAATATTTATTATATAATAAATAATAGATTTATAATTTATTATGTAAGAAAAGTATGTTTTTGTAACTATTGTTTGTACTTATTACATGGTCTGCACTTAAATTATTAGTTCATTTAAATATTTTATTCTTTGTGCTATTGATTTGTGTTAGTAATTAAACTAAACTTAATTCATTATTTTTTAAAAATTTAAATATCGAGTTGTATCGAAAATTTCTCGTCACCACTAACATTTCACATTGACGTGTTTGCTCATATTTTGTCGGTCAATTTTTGGCATTTGCAAGAAAGAGACTTGCTTTAGAACACTGGATTGTGAAATCTGTAAAAATATTTCATTATAATTAAGTACAAGGTGTCTGAAATAGAACTATAATGCTACCAGATTCGAACCTTCATTTACTTCCCAGTTCTATTGCAAAAAATCAGCTACAGAATGTCACCGAATCATGTGTATAGTTTTAGGTACTACTGTTGTATCATATGACACTATGAAGTTTTGGTATCATAAGTTCAAAAATAAGAACTATGACATTCAATAAGCAGAGCCCTTTGACTGGCTTACTGATGTTGATGTGCTTTACCTGCAAATAATTGTGGAAGAAAATCAGTTTGCAATCACTTGAGAGCTATCTGAGGATTAAACGTTAGTGCCATGTCCATTAATCGCATTATGCCTGGTATAAAGTAGATGTACGAGTTTAATCACTGGGTGCCACAAGATCTGACTCAAACAGACAGATATGTTTAGGCTTGCACTAATCTGCTCGACTATAAATGCAGGGGCAACTCTCTGGTCCGTCGTCACTTGTGATGAAAAGTGGATTTGGGGTGGGTCTGTACTGAGGAGTTCATTGGTAGAATCGCAAAACACAATTTGATTAACGAAATGATCATGCATTGTATCTGGTGGAATTGTCATAGTATTATCCTCAAAGTGTCCGGGAAAAGGTAAAACAATTGATAATAAGGTGAACAGCTAGATGCTACTCTGCTATCAAAGCAAAATGTCAACCTGAGTTCTTCCACGGGAAGGTACTGTTCCTTCAAAGTAATGAAAGAACTCATGTATCTGCATTCATCAGCTGGTATCTGTACAGACTCGAATGGGGTCCTTTGTCCCACTGATCATATAGCCCTTGGCTCCTTCAAACTTCTACTTCTTTGCATCTGCAGCTACCATACAACTGGTGATATCTTCGATTCAGCACAGAGATCTGAAATGAGGTTGATCTGTTTTTGGATTTGCGAAGACTTTGAAAAACTATCCAAATGTTGGCAGAAAATCATAGATTTGGGTGTTTACCTGCACTAAAAGTACTGTTTTCATGTTTTTTCCTTAGCTTTATAACCAAATTGATGTTTGTTACTGCTTGTATATGAATCTTATAGAATTTTGTTATATTTACAGAATTGTTTAAATTACACTGTATTTGCTTAATATTATATATTTTTTTCATGAGAGATCCTAATCAGTTCTGTATAATTATTTTTAAATCTTAAATAATAAATTTTGATGTATGTAAGCATGTTTTTTTTTTTCAGTCAGCGTTACATTCCGATATTGAATAATGTGAGTTCTGCAAAATTAAAGGTGGTTGTTGGCACAAAAAGGGATCTATTGAAGAGTCGAGAGCGCAGAGTAAGTATATGTTTTTTAAAATTTTTTATGTGATAATTTTATAATTATTTTATCACAATAGTATTATTAAGTATCCCCATAGTAAACTAATTCACATTTTATTGCACTTTTAATTTGAGTCCTATTTAGGTTTTTTTTTCTCCACAATATTAACTCTTTTATTACTCAAAATTCTGATTAAGATTCTATAGTTTGTTACATTTTAAGTATATCATATTTTTACTTACTATATCTTTTCATGTTATGACATACTTTTCAATAAAAAATGTAATTTGTTAGCTTAATACCCTTCAAAAAGCTTGGAAGCAAAGGATTCATTTTATTCTATCCAGGAAATGTTATTATTTTTTCATTTTCTTTGATTGATAATTTAGTTCTGTACATATATTTTCTTTAAGATTGTTTTTTAAACTTTTATTTTTGTTTAAAATTGATGAATACCAATTTAGATAATGTGGAAAATATTATTATAAATTATGTCATAACAACAGTATTTGTGAAAAAATCCCAAAAAGACAAAGGTATAATACCAAATTACCTATTTTAAAGTTCTGGTTATTGAGTTGTATTATGAATCTGTTGAAATTCAAGTGTAATAGCCATGATACCTATCTTATTCTGATGGAGTTTAGTATTTTTATGTTGCATATTTTGAAATATAATGTTGAGTAGAGTTAATATCATAAATTTATTTGTGATAATTATATAAAATCAATTCTAAGCAAAATCAACTTATATGCTGCTATATATGTCCATAATCTGAGAGAATCAATAATTAGCATTATTAGGATCTGAGTTTCTAAAAACAAAGTAGTTGAACAGACATTCAATTTTGCTTTCATTAAAGTTTTGACATACATAAAACAAAGCAAAATTTCATCTTTAGGAAATAATCTTGTATTTGATCAATCATACAAGTTAAAATGTTGCATTCACAAAGGTGCAGTGAAGGACATAACTAGTAGTGCTTTTGAGGGCACTAAATCATGACAATTAAGCAGGAATGTTTTTTTTTAGTGTGAAATGCTATGTAACTATGAGATGAAGCAATACGTAAGCATAAGTTTTTGCTCCAAATCAAGTTTGGCAAAGATAATTTTTTTTTTAAAAAAAGAAGCAAAAAATCAAATTTATTAGAATTAAATCGGATTTATTTTTTGTATTTACCTGTCTAAATCATCTGATAAATTGTATAAACGGAACTTAATATTATTTAAAATCAATAGGATAGCTGAAACAGCTCATATTCTAACTAAACTGTTTTAAAAATTATTATTTAATTATTACAAATTAATCACTGAAAAAATATAATCATAGTTGTTTTTGTTCAAAATAACATACTAAAGACAGGGAGGCAATTTGTCAGATAGATATCCAATGAATCAATTTTGATCAGAATATATTAAAGAAAAGAAGTTATTTTAAGTTTCTCTTGGCAAAATAAGTCTTTTTCATTATTGATATGCGATATCTACATATTTAATAAGTTTTAATATCACTTGTATTGAACTGAATGCAACACTAAATGAGGGTAAATCAAATATGTTTTATTACCAGAACTGATGGGAAAATATAATTTAACAATTTTAACCCACTCTTATTCACTTTTAGTCTCAAATTTTAATATAATAATTACTATACATTGAAATATAATAATTATAATAATGAAATATAATAATTTCTATACATTTTCTTTTCATTATTTCTTTGGATGGAACCCTCATTATCAATAAAATCACATTTTAAAAAAAATTACACCCTAAATAATATATTCATAAATAATAAAATATAAAAATTTTTTTGAAAAAATCAATTGTCTTAAATCATTGATTTTTAAAAAAATACTTGATTCAATTAATTAGGATTAGGTGATTGAAATCGCGATTTTAATCATGCTGAATCAGACAAAATTGCTGCAGAAGCGCATAAAATGTTATTAAAACTGTACAGCATGGAAGCAAGGAGTAAAAATTTAGTTTTTCAATAATTTAAATGATTATGATATTGAAAGAAAGCTGATGATTTCCAGTCGTTGCTATTGAAATTGCATTCATAGTTACAGTTTTTCCTTCAAATGCAAGTAATGTTTTTTTGTTTGTATACCCTGTTTCTTTCATTTTAGGAGACAATTCACTTAACTTTTTGAAAACACCTTGTATTAATTAATTTAAAATTGAATTTTAGTTTTATTTTATGCACTAAATGCATTTTAATTTTTTCAGGTAACAGTAGAAGAAGGAATTAATCTTGCTAAGAGTAGCAATCCCCATTTAGACTTCACAAATATGAGAGTTCCTTACTTTGAAACTTCCAGCAAAACAGGAACAAGTGTGGATGATATGTTTGAATATGTATTTGAACATTTCTTCTCTGATAAGGGCTCGCACCCCAGGCCACAAAATACAAAAATTGACAGTATAGCTATAAGTGACAAAATTGAAAAAAGACAATCAACATTTGTTTGCTGTTCTTGATTTATATAGACTAAAGCTTTATTTGTGCCTCTGTTTAAGAGAAATTGCATTTGCGATTGAGAGCATGAGCCAAAACTTAAAACAATGTTTGGATTGAATTACACATTGTTTTTAAATTTTATAAATTCTGTTGAAATCAGTTAAATTGACGGAATGAAAACTTCTCAAATCATACTATAATTTTAGATAATGTATCCTCTAAGTAACAGTAAGTAATTTTTCTCTTTTACTTGCAAAACTTGTTTATAGTTTAAGCTACAAATTTTATCATGTTTGAAATTGTGTCTTTTAAAATATGCTCAATTGAAAAATTCTATATATTAATGTTTCCATATATATAGTTTGAAAGAGATTTGTTTCATTGCTGTGATATATTATACAAGACGTAAAATAGTGTATTTTTATAAATGTATGTTTGTAATGTTAAGAATATATTTATAAACTTATTATTTACACTGTTTTTGTTTTTCATTCTTTTCTTATGCTTTGTAAAAATAGCTGACTAGCTAATCATGCATCATACTTCTTTTAACTATCGGTTAGTATAGAATTTTTAATTTTGGTAAAATAATTATAAAATTCATATATTTAAATGTTAATTTTATTTAAATTATCATATAGCTTTTATTCTTTACAGTGTTATTAATAGCTATCATTGTTTTATACTTTTAAGATAAATAGCTTAATTTTACAAATGTGTTGATACTATTTGGAAGTTTTTATAAAGTTATTTTTAATATTTTACTTTTCATTCTTTTTTTTTTGTGCTTTATTAGACTACTTCCAAAATGTAGTCACTAGTTCATTACTTTTCAAAGATAAACTTTGCGGGAAAATTTAATTTATGCTAGTGTTCAAAATATTTTTGAGTTTATAAATTGGCTTATTTAACTGTCAGGAATTAAGATATATTTATTCATGATGAGCCAAAATGTTATTCTAAACAGATTTTTTTTTAAATTTTCGACTTTTTATGCTTTTCACAGCAACAGATATTTAATTAAAAAAAGGCAGAAAATTATAATATATTCTCTGTTTTATTGAGTATTTTAATGCTCTTACTTTTTTATTAGAATAATATACACATTTTCTCTTAGTGTTTCATGTGTACATTTGCATTTGGAGGTATGGCATTTCAAAATGTGCAAGTTCAAATAAGAGTTGACTTAAAACCAACAGCTTTTTGTTTAAAGGGCAAAATTTACACAAATCTAATAAATTTAAGCTTTACTTCTTGTTTAAATTAAAATAAGTATTATATGCTGACCATAGCAGTTCAATATTATCATCATGAACCTTTAGAGTAGCTGCCATCTTCCGTGTTTATGAAAATAGAAACAATTATCATAAAGAAATCTAATTGCGCATGTGATTTCTATCATAAGATTTACAGAAAGCTATGAAACAAACCACTGCTTCCAAGCTTTATGAAAAAATTTGCTCTGGAACATCAAACCTGATTCATATTACTCATGTAATTCTAATTACATGTGACATAATTTTAATTACACGTGTAATTCTAATTATGCTTGTTATTTCTATCAAGATTTCCAGAAAACTATATATTTTAAGTAGAGCACTACACTATTAACTATGTAAAAAGTTGTGACTACAGTAGTTTAACCACTGCTTATTAGTAGTATAAGCATGAAGTTTCACAATTGGATCAAGAACTCTCAAATCCAAAGATTTGAAGAGATTATTTATTTAACAGTAGCAATCAACAGTATTAGTTTTACAGACATTATTAGTTATATTTAATTTTTACTCAAGAGTAAGCAGTTATCGATTATTTGTTTGTAAGAATCTTGTGAAGAATTGTGAGTAAATTTAAGTCTCGTAAGACACTTCATTATTCTGGTGGTATTAAAAAGATAACTCCTCTAAGAGTGGCAAGTTTGTTGTCCTTGACACTCTTCTTTATTATCAAGGTGGACATCTTTCATCGTTAGCAGCATGTGTAGGAAATCATGTTTGAAAATTTTCCTTATAAGCTGCAAGCAATTTAGTGAAGACTTTAAAGAAATGGAAATTACAAAGTATCAGAAGGCTTGACATTGTAGTTGATGATACACCAATGACATTCCTCCTGCTTACTGCAAGACACAAGGATAATTTCCATTGTAAACAAATAGCACTTTGGTGATTAACGTCAGCAGTGAATTGGCTCATATGATGATGTTAATGTACGAACATTACATATCCCCCCCCCCACCAAGACAAATTTTAGATACCAAAGTTTGAGAAAAAAAAATTTCTTGATAAATCCTCTATTTCTCATGGATACAAATGTACATTTAATCAAAAAAGCAACTTAAAAGATATCTCCCAATGAAATAGAATATGTCAAAGCAATAAACTATCAGAAAAACTAAAACTTTTCTAACTAAATGGGGAAAAAATGTGTACATTAATTAATGAATAACTTAAACAATATTAAAATCCATCTTCAACTAAATTTCTATAGTTTTAAAGCAAACTATCAAATACTTCTTAACCAACACTTAATGGTATGTTAACTACCTAGAATTTCATCTTTATTGCTTTCATACAATTAAAAAATATGTAAATTTTAAGTTTGTGTAGGCAATTCATTCATATAATTTTCTAGCAAAAGCATTTATAAAATGTAAATAAAAACGAGAAATACATTTCTGACACTCAATTGTTCTCTAAACGAGTTGCCTCATAACACTGATCACTGCAGATATAAATCTATAGTACATATTAATCTCACCTAGCACCAGTCTCAAAAGTTCATTGATCACAGATCGCAGCATTCAAGAGCTCATCGATTACTAGTAGCACTATTCATGAGCATAAAATCATCAAGAGGGAATAAATTCACTTTCATTTTTTTTTTTTTTCGTTATTGATTTGTTGGATTGTTACTTAGTTCAGCATGGTAGTAATCTGTACAGCTTACAAACTGCATTTGATATTGGGACTTGTATTGGGATTAAGTGGGGGCAAGCAAGATTTTAGAGTAAAGATTGCTGACAACTGTGGCTTAGGACATTCTATTTTTATAATTCTGTCACGGACACCTCTTCAGCATGTGATATTACACATGCCAATTGCAAATTTTAATGCTTATTTAGAATTTAATAATAACGGTTAGAAGATTTTTTAATTTTAAGGTACTAAAAAAATTTATGTTTACTCTTGTTATTAAATAAAATAAGTAATTTTTTAAAATTTTGCAATAAATTATTTTTGGATAAGGAAGTTTTGCATTTGATTTAATTTTTGATTCGAATTTTGATAATTTTTACTTAGATGGGCAAATATTTTGATATATTAAATTCCGATTTTACAATAATAATCATTAAATGATCATGTTGGAGTCATAGACAAGCTTGCGCTTATGAAGATAGTATTCCTTTTCTTTTTATAAAATGAAAGTATATATATGTATATATATATATCAGTAGAGCACTAAAAATTGACAAAAAAGCTTCTTCTAGGATGCGAAAATTATATATATATGTCGGAGCCCTTTTAGTTTTAATGTAATATAGTGTAAACTTAAACAGTTAATACGTGTAACTTGAGTTATAAATCAATACATTGGATGCATGCATCTGTAAACAATCTTTGTTAAAATATAGATATTTATAAACATAATTATTTATGTCATTGCTATCAAGTTCGTTTAATGAGAAGAGGTTCATCTGAAAGAATAACATGATTAAACACAATTGAGATAATTAGACGTATCATTGACTAGGTGAAAAAGCATTATTTATTGACTGTGATTTGATGATTTAAAGCATTTTCAACAAAATCCTCAGGAATTTAACAATTTCTTAGAATCCAACAATGGCACATAAACATCACTTATAAATATACAATAAAAAAAAACTTTTCATCTTTTCAATTTGCATGCAACAAGTAATTACATAACATACCATAATACGAAGCAGTGTGTTCAAAGCTGACAACAAAAGAGTATTTACATAACAGCTCTTTAAAAAAAGGAAAGATTTAAACAAAATTATTCTCAAAGAAATGTATATTATATAGATGCTATTAGCAAGCAGCAATTCATAAAATGAATTAATGAAAGTATGTTAGTCTGATGAGAACAATGAAAGTTAACCCTTGAAGACTCCCAAAACAGATAATTCGTGTACTTTTTAAAATAGTAACAAAATAGTATATGACGTTTGTGAGCAACACCTTTCAAACAAAACTAAACATATTCAACAGAGTACATGCATTTATATGTGTACAATAATAAGAAATAATAATGACTAAATAATTATGTAGTGAGCAAGTATGTGAATGAGCTGTACATAAGAATGATGAAACAATAACTAGTTAACTACATGCAATTTTGTAAAAATAATTTAAAATTTGTTAATAACCTAATGATTTTCCTGTTAACCAATTCATTATTTTAGTTACCGTCTAACATAGTTAATACAAGAACAAGGTTAATACATGATAATGGAAATGGCAGGCAATAATATATGAAAAATAATTTAAAATTGGTTAATAACCTAATAATTTTTTGTTAATAGGTTTATTTTAGTTGCTGTCCTTATAGTTAATTTATGAATATAATTAATACAAGATGATGGAAAGGACAAGCAATAATCTGTGAAAATAATTTTAAATTGGTTAATAACTGAACGATTTTCCTATTGTTTAATTAACTCATTGTTTTCATAATTTCTAGCATAGTTAATACAAGAACATGATTAATCTTGTAGTAAGATAATAAAAACAACAAGCAATTATATCAGAAAATAATTTTAAATTAGTTACTAACCCAAAGATTTTCCTATTAATCATTTAAATAACTGTTTTAATAGTTATTGTTCAATTTAGTTAATAAATGTACATGGTTATTACAAGATAATGAAAAAAACATATATGTATATATTTGGTGAAAATATTTTAAAATTATTCAATGACATAATGGTTTTACTTGTTATTTATTTTTAACAGTTCTTTAATACAGTTATTACAAGATTGTGGTTAATATTAAAAAACATTAAAGATGTCTCCTAAAGATGTGTAGAAGCTATGTGTGTCTCCTTCTTTCATTTATGCTATGGTTCCTCAGTTTCTTTAGAAACATTGCTTGTATTTCAGTTGTAATAGCATTTTAGAAGAAGAAATGCATAGAAAAAACATATTGTTTTTAAACCCTATTGAATTTTATCCACACTTATCTAATAATTATGGGAATTAGAGTGTTTTAATTGACTGATTTATTGTGAAACAGTGATAAGCCTCACGCAAAGGAGAAATCGTGCATGTCAAAGGTTTGAAAACAAATTTTCCTTAAAAAATAGACATAATTTTAGGGGAATGTATTAGACAGAAAATTAATTGAAATATTTCATTATCACTGATAAAATAAATTTCCAAACTTAACAGAGAAAAAAAAAAACTGACTCGTTATGGTCGCAGAATATGTCCTTCAGTTGTAATTATAGAACATTAAAGTTAACACATGTAAATAAAATGAACGAAATACATTCATTATAATTAAATAATACTTTAAAGTTATTTTAAATAGTAGTTCAACTACACTACAGTAAATGTCTTATTAAAATGCAATAAGGTTGCTTTAACATTTAAAGCAACAAAATTCATGTATTTAGTATACACATATAATAAAGATAAAAGTTAGAAATTTTTTTAAGTGAACTTTTTGATGTTTCATAGCTTCCTAGAAAACTTTAGCTTATTGAAAAACAAACGCACATACATAAATAATTAAAAGAAACTAAACTGCAGAAAAATACAGCAAAAGATTTTTTTTAAAAAAAAAAAGAAAGGAAAAACTTTTTACAGTAAAATTGATAGTGACCTACTTCGTATAAAGTTCATACTAGGTAATATATACACAAGCTGATTTTTTTTTAAAAAAGTAAAAAATCATTTCAAAATTTATTAAATTACTATCTTTGTCTTACATTCAACATCACAGATGAAACGTTTACATGGACGGATGATACAGCTGCTTGAAATTAGACGTATCACTACAGAAACTGCAGAGGACTAGTTTAACTGCAATTTTAACTTCTCTTGGATACTGATGTGAAAATTTGGAGAAAGAGTGCATATCTGTTTCTTCACAAGTTTTCGCAGATCCAAACGTTTTCAATTCTCAGCGGGGGAAAAAAATCACAGCTTCTTAAAAAAAAAATTATTAAAAATGTCTTCCTAATACAATAGTGACAATCTCACAATCGAATGGAGATTCTTGATTGTATATTTTTAATATCTTGTTTCACAATAGTAAAAACACAAAAAAAAAGAAAAAAAATCTTTGAAATATTATCACAAATTAGAAATTCTTGACTTAATTCTTTTTTCAAAAATTTTTCGAAGCACTTAGAGATTTTTGTCTCCTACGTATCCCATGATCCAACTTTTTGCACTAGATATGCTGTTATATACAGCAGGCTGAACAATATCACATGGTCCTGGAAAATCCAAAATACCTTTCAATTCCCAATGCTTGTTGTTGAGACAAAACAGTGGTGAACCGTAATCCATCTAAAAACCATAAAATAATTTTTAAATTTTGAAAATTAAGGATCATTTTATTCATTTGAAATTTAAAAATATCACCTCTACATACTGGAATAAAAATGTATAAGCAAGCAAATTTCGTATAAGGTTATAGTAATAAATTACATAAAAAATTTTTTTTGTTAGTATAAAAAAAAATGAGTGAACAATAAAAGCTCAATGTCACTAGAGTGGCATACAACAAAAAATTTGCTATTAGGACAAGTGAGCTGCAATTGTTCATTGATTAAAGGCACTGAACTGTTATTGCAAAGAACAGGTCTTATATTGCCTTGAGAATGTACTTGTTTCCATACAAGAAAAAATTTGTATAAGGTTATAGCAATAAATTACATAAATTTTTTTTTGTTAGTATAAAAAAAAATAGGAACAATAAAAGCTCAATGTTACTAGAGTGGCATACAGCAAAAAGTTTGCTATTAGGACAAGTGAGCCGCAATAATTCATTGATTAAAGGCACTGAACTGTTATTGCAAAGAACAATTTATATTGCAAAGGACAGGCCTTTTATATTGCCGTGAGAATGTACTTGTTTCCATACAAGCAAATTTTGTATAAGATCATAGTAATAAATTCCATAAAAAAATTTTTTGTTAGTATAAAAAAAATGAGTGAACAATAAAAGCTCAATGTCACTAGAGTGGCATACAACAAAAAGTTTGCTATTAGCACAAGTGAGCCGCAATTGTTCATTGATTAAAGACATTGAACTGTTATTGCAAAGGACTGGGTTTCGATCCTCAATGCCAGCTTGAGGCTTACTTAGCACCGGTTTGTACAGAATGCTGATCACAATTATGCCCTTGATCTTGAAATCATGGAGCCTTAGCCCAACTTGGGCTCACAGCATGTAAATTATTTGTTTATAGCGAGTTAAGAATAACTTTCTCTTCGTTATTGTAGCATATTTTAGACTTTTGCAGACTTCTAATTTTGCTCAGTAACTGATCACAAAATTAAATTTAAAAAATAATACTAATATGCAGTAGTGTTATTTCATTAGACTATGCAATGTTTTAACAACTTACTTGACATGTTGGATAACTGCTGTTTTCATGACTGGCACATATCAGTGTGTCCAACAGCAAACCATTATAATTTGCAGTGTTGTTGCATTCACTTTGTGGAATGACAGTGACTGGAACTGAATAAAATTCCTCCTCTTTCTCGTCTATTAGTCAAAGAAATAAAAGTATTATCATTAAAGATATGTAATATTTTTAAATTACTTTTATTTGTTGTTAATTTGTCACAAAATTTTTAAGATGTCAATTATAATATCACTTGTTATTTTTTGTAGTTAATTATGAGGAAATAATTCTTCATTTCAAATGTCCTTTTAAATTGAAGATTGAATTGGTTTTTAAAAAAAATTATTTGAATTTCTTGTTTTTAGGTCCCACAATTTTAACTAACACCTCGCATAATTGATGACGGCATACTTCTAGGCTATAACATGTAAGTGATTATTATTTTACTTGAAAAACGTAACACTAAAAAATGTATGTTTTGTCCATTAGAAATTTTTTTTATTACATTTCTAAAACAAATTTCGCTAAAATTAAATGTAAAACAGGCTATTAACCAAAACAACTTCAAACCATTAAAATAATCATTGACAGTGTGTAATTAGACTATAGTAATGATTATGATTTTAATTAATTTAATCTAAATTCAGTGAGACGACATTGCAGTAATAATAACTACCTTTTGATATAGTTACAATATTTTATGGACCTCAAAGAATAATGCATTTACTGTGGTAAATGCTTAGATCTATATCTGTGTAAGTAGTATAACAAATGTGCTTTTTCCAAAGATTTTTCGAGTGAAACAAATATCCAGTTGTATTATTTAAAGAATTTTCTTTGTAAACCTGTCACGGTCTCTCCAATAGAAAGCTATAAAACTATCTGCATATTAAGGAAATTTTAAGTTTGAACTGCAACTAGCTCAGACTGGTTGCTTATCTTCCAGCTGTTTTCTTTTTTTCTGACGGCAGGCGCTGAACTTTAACGTTCTTCGCCTAGGAAGATACCGGAAGTGTTACTCGTTTAGCGTTACCCAGTGGGCACCATTTTTTTTTATTACGTCCATCATTTGCTCTTTCGAGCATGAGAAGTCTTGCAGTCCAATATAATAAAGAAATATCTCCAGGGGCGGAGAACGTCTTGAAACTAGAAGAATTGCGGGCCTTCTGGAGGGCAGAGCAGTTCCATAGATGCCCGCCATTCATACGGGCCCTATTTATTCATAGATAAAGACGAAGGCTGTAACAGATAGAGCGTTATCCAGAGTGCACCACGAGTGGGCACCTGTGAACCTAAGTCATGGAGGCGAGCAGCATTACCCACGCCTCACTGCAACAGATACCCGTTTTATAGGTGGGCCACATCCATACATGACACAGTAGAGAACAACACAGAGAGAAACATCCATGCCCTGTCGGGTGGTTAGCGTGCCTGACTGCGCAGCCATTGGCTTCGCAGTCAGGCACGCTAACCAGCCGACCATCTGGCCGGCTAATCCTCCAGCTGTGGTTGGGCCTGCTTCGGAAATAAGCATTGCATTGAGCAATAACTTGTATACCACTCTATTTCATATGATAGTTTTGTTTTATTTTTTAACTGTGGAGGAGCAGTCCGGTGTATAGTTTAACTAGGATTTATTGATTGTTACTTAATTAGTTAAAGTTAATTTTCTTACCGTGCAGAACACATTACCACCCTATCTCATTGATTTCAAAGTTGTTTAGACTAAAATCTGAGACTTCTTTGGCCTACTACTGTCTGCTGCGATAGTGTTTTTTAAACAAACAAATGCTCAATTTGATGACTTGGTAATTTTAACTCAATTTAAAAGGAGAGGTATTCTATCAGAGCAAATTTGCGTGAACTCGATGGTAATAGTACAAATGACCCATGATTCATTTTCTAAGAATATTTAAAAGTATTAATGTGATTGAGCTTTTTGGGAGTAGTATATAAATAAGTCATAGTTGGGATATGAACCTAAGAACTCGGAAGCAAATTTTCTATCTGCTATTCAACTGACACAATGAAACATTCAAGTATTTCTTTCATTTTCGTCCTAGAAGGAACAAAATTCAAAGAATGTTTATAGGTATTATAATAAGAACCCGTAGTTTAAATATTTAATAATCTTTGTTAAATTGTTCTACCATAAAGGGCTCAACTTCGCACGCTAGTCGTCCTCTAAAAAGAGGATCAAAATTGTGATGGCAAGTCATGCTTCAGAGATGTTCCCAGATCGCCTTAGGTCTAATGCGACATAAATAAAGCATTACTAATGCTTAAATATTTAATTAATTTGAATGATAATTAAGTAATATTACCTGAGGGAACCTGACTCCATCCCGTGGTAAAGCATTGCTCTTGCAGATCCATGTCTTCTGCTAAACAAGCAGTTTGCGAATACCTAGTCATTCGTATTGTATCCTTCACTTTTACGAGAGCTAGATTGTGCTCTTGGAACATCAACACCATTCCGACATCAACGTGTGGAATAATCTCACTTATAAGATGAGTTTGTTGTCCAGTCACATTCGTTATTGAGTCATATAAGCCAGCAATAAAAGACCATTTATCAGGATTCAGTGTTTCGTCCCTGAAAATTATGACAGAATTAGTTATTTCAGTTTGATACATTTTATTTTGTGTATAAAGTACTTCACATATGGCTTACTTGAGTCATCCAGGCGAAATGAAGCATGCAAAAATAAAGTATGTGGTTATTTCAAAGTTATCATGACCAACAGTGGAATATCTCGTGAAATGAACAATTTTGTAATGAAATTGATTTCTTTAATGATTTTTTTTAAAACGAGGATTGATTATAAATGACCTAATGTAATTAGTTAGCATAATTTTAAGCAATATTTAGCAAATTATAAAAATGATGTCCCTTTCAGAATTGCAATTTTTATCACGACTACATGGTAATTATCAAAAGGAATTTTGCATTAAATTGTAACAATAATAAAATGATAATTAACGACTTGTTAATATAACAAATTTGTCTGTCTGTATTAAGAAATCCCCTTGCTATTCTTCTAATGTGGTGGCGGGGACTGTGGATACGAGGTTGAGCGATTTCAAGTATAGTTTGTCTAAGTTAAGAACTCCTCCCGCCACAAAGTCTGAAGCCGTCTGGCGCTATGGAACCAAGAATGGCGCATTTTAAAGAGGGTAGCTTCACTCTAGGTCTGACACAACAGACCGAAAAGATTTCTCTTCCCGACCCGAAACCGCTTCAAAACAGGGACCCGCACCCCTACTTGAAATAGCCATACCTCGTTACCATAGTCACTGCCACAGGTCCAAACGAATGTCTGGAGGAGTTTTTATTTTAGGCAAACTATAGGGAAGTTGGCTCAATATTTAGGACAGGTTTTTACTCCTCGGCGAGAGTATAAGAATAATTTTTCTTCAGTCTATACTAAAGCTTCCCTCTTTAAAATGCTCTATTTCTTGTTTCCATTGCAGCAGACTGCCTTAGACTTAGTGGCAAATTGAGTTTTTTTATATAGACTAACTTTAAATTAACGAAAACAAAATTATGCATATTTTTTTTTGAATCGAATTTCTGTGTATATTTTTTCCCCAATGAAATGAAAATTCATATTTTTTTTTCTTTTTAAATAGTGATTAAGGTAGTGAAATTACTTTGATTAATATACATATTTCCTTAATAATTTCTGGAACATTCACATCAGCGAAATGTAAAAATTTATAATTCCATAAGGTCTCAAAGACTTTTAATTATAATGAAATAAATTATATTCATAAGCTGAAAACAAATTTAAATAATAAACTATTACAGTAAGTTAAAATTTTAAAAATTTACGAGAATTATAAATTATTTCTAAAATTAGTAATTACAAAACAAACGCTCACCAACCCCCGGAATTGCTTTCGCAGTTCATTTCGGATTGCTTCGCAATCCGATGCTCGCTTTGCTCGCTCATTGGATACGTTCTTAACGTCTAGCTTTTGNACTGTTGTGAAAAGAATCTTATTTAGTTGTACAAAGTACTTCAGCCAAAATTTGGGAGCCACGTAAGAGAATTATATATAATAGATTTCCAAAATTAGTAATTACAAAACAAATATTATTAACAATACCAATGTTTTTTTTTTCATACATAGTGGAGTACCATATTCAATTTGAGTAAATTAATATAATTAAAATTATCGAAGTAAATTTAGCGTAATTATGATTAATGCTACCATTTCTGAAATTCCATATAATACAATTAGTTGCATAGGTTATTGATTTAAAGAAAATTTATTTATTTTTTAGTATTAAAATTTTTTTATTTATGGAGGATTTAATCAGATTCAAAAAATCTAAAGAGGATAAATCGGCATGATGAATAATTAATTTTTCAATGTATCTAAAATAAAAGCTTTAAATTCAAATTTGTTAGTGAGTTTGTTTAGTGAGTGCAAGTGAAATTTTCGTGAATTCAAAGAAAATAAATAAGCTTTAAGGTGTATGAAAACAATAGGACGTTGCTTACAAACTTTTTTTTTTAATTGCAAACCTCCTTATTTGAAGATCTTGCAGAAAATGAATTAATATTCAATTTTTATCTGAAAATCTGAGCTCTTTTAAGAGGACGACGCTGTACTACAACTAAAACTTTTTAACGCCAATTTTCTTTCACCACCATAAGTAATTTAACGTTTATAGTATAAAAAAAACAAATTCAGACAAACCTAGAATAAACCATGAAGTTTCATGAAGCTGAAAAGAAATTTTCAAAATATCAAAATAACGCAAATCACGAGGAGATAACTTAGCATTACGCAAAAGTTCTCTTCCAGTAATTTGTTTGCATTTTGTTATAAATTTTTTTTTTTTAAGCAATTGAAACTTCTTGGCTTATTCTATGTTTGTCTGAACTCGCTTTTTCTTTACTTTAAATTAGTTAAATGAGAGGAAATAGAAGTAGCAATGTAAAGTTTTTCCTGAGGTATGGAGTCCTCTTTACACATAAACTCTTCAAATTGTAAGATATACAAATTCTAAGATTATATTCATTCATAAATTATAACCATAAATAATAAAGCCAAATATTAAATAACTTACGCATATGTTAGGCAATTCAATGATGCCAGAACATATTGTGAAGACAAAATTGTAGCTGCACATATCTTTGGTTGAGATACTAGTTGCAAGTATCCTAGAGCCGGCCATTCTTCATAAAACTTTGTGTTGTTATAATTTGTTTCATTATAAACATGATTCCATTGTCCACATTTTCCTGTGAAATCTGTTTTAAGATATAATCTCATTAAAAGTAATATTGAAAATTAATGTTTACATATGGTATAATTAATCTTAAGTAACTGAACTAAAGTAATTTTTAATATGAAATTGAATAGTTTCATGATTTTACGTAATTAAGTCGACTCACCTCAATGCAGTAATAACAATCGCCAATTGTACTGTCAGTATTAAAATGGAAATCAGTAGATTATTATAGAGCAATATTTTTTGTTTTTAATTTACCTATTTTATTCTTGTTATGTGAATAGTTCGATAAAATTACTATTAGGAAGCATATTTTATAGAACATTTATTTTTTATTCATAAAATTAACCATGTATCTCTATTTGGTTAAGTTTTCGCTAATCAGATTAATTTTGATTCGAGTCGATTAATTTTGTTCCGCAGTGGGCTGATCGTAAAGAGACGGTTCCCGGTAGAACACCGAAGTCAAACATCACTAGCTGCGGTCAGTAAGTGGGTGGGTGACCACTTTGATCAGCCTGCGTAGGGACCGAAGGTGCGTGGTATCGGTCCTCGTTAAACTGTTCTACTGTAAAGTGCTCGACTTCACGCGCAGGTCGTCGGGCTACCAAAGCAGGGGAGCCATCCCCTCTACAGAGGATCAAAATTGCGTTGGCATGTCTTCGAATCATCCTCAGGGATGTTTCCCAAACCGGCGCCAATAGCCCATTGTGCAGCTCTAGTACGACGTAAATTAAGTACCTACCTTTGAGTATACTAACTATAGATTTATATTGACTAATACTCTATATACAATTATAGTTTGTATTATTTGATGTGATTATTTGCAATGAAGAATATATAATGCTATATGATTTAAACCGATAGAGCGACTTATTCTAATTCAAAAAAACCACAACTGGACATTTCTATATCCATATACTAGACAAAAAGCGTTATGAACAGACATTGTCCAGTCATAAATAAGCGTTCAAGAAGAATAAGAGTTTAAGAACATTAGCTTCTTCTTGGAAAGAGGAAATACCTTTAGTTTATGTTCTAAGAGAAAGTGCAACTGTTTTACAAGATACTGATATAAAACTATTTATCTGAAATGATTATTACTATTCTAATAAACCAAAAATGATAAAAAAAAAATAATTTAATATTTTAAATGAAGAACTTACTTGTTTCACTTTCTTCTTCATCTATCGTTAGTTTTTCAGAGAGTAAATGAAGTAATAATGATTCATTATTACTCCTTGGCATTGCTTTATCGATGTATTCAATGTCTGGAATAGTTATTGGATTCGATGTTGTCAAGATGGATTTATTTTCTTGGAAATTATTTATTGGCATCTCTGTAAAAGTGATCAACGGAGAAGGAGTAGTTATATTTCGGACTATATTTACAAATGTAGTTATCTGTGTTTTTTCTTCTGTAACAGTACTTTCTTTGGTATCTGCTACAGTTGTTTCCCCATTTCTTAACGAATCATTACTTCTTGTTGTTTCTCTTCCAATCATTGAAAAGTTTCCTTCAATAAGCTGTGTGGTTGTAAAATCTGTCTCATTGGGTGATTCTGTTGTTGGTAAAGTTGTTTCTCCTAATTGAGTCTCTGTTTCATTTAGTAGCCTTGCAAATTCGGGCTGGCGGCCATAATGATTCTTTTCTGTTACAGTAATTTCATAATTTGAAACGGTATGCGTTTCTGCTACAGTTGTCTCATAATCTGTTACTGCATGCGTTCCTGCTACAGTGGTTTCATAATCTGTCACTGGATGTGTTTCTGATTCCAAAACACCCACTGTTGTTTCGATTCCTTCGCTTAATGTCGTAAAATTATCAGCAGAAGTTGAAATTTCTGTATTTGGAGAAGTAACAGCATTAACCTGAGTCTCAGCAGCACTTGTTATCTCAGTTGGTGTTTGTTTTCTTTCATTTCCTTGCAAAGATTCTACTGTAGTGAGTGTAGGTTGAGAAACTTTCTTTGTAACTTCAGTTGTGTCAAACATCGGTAAAATAGTCGGATTAGTCACTGTGTCATAAACTGTTGTTTCGGCTTCCATTTCATTCATATTTGTAGTGGTTTCAAACTGGGGTACGAATGTCGTTTCTTTATCATAAGGAAGGCTAGTTGTTTTTGCTTCGCTTAAAGTTGTGGCATGATATGATTGTGGTGTATGTTTGTAAATTTCTGGTGTAGTGGTTTTATCTGTTTCACCAATACCTGGTATTGTTGTTGCTTCTTCAGGTTTTTCATTTTCATTTCCCTGTGTTGTTGTATGCTCTTTAATGGCATAGCCTTCGCCAGTATTTAGTTTTTCTGTCATTGGTGGTGTTAAGTCTGTCAAATTGCCATCATTGATTGTGACTTCCGTAACTGGGCTTGTCCTTACATCATAAATTATGTCAGATATATTATGAGATTCATCTAAATTTCTGCTTCGTGATAAATGCTCTTTATAGACAGCAGTGCTTTCTAGATTGGCAATGCGAGCAGGAGACTCTACGCGAATGCCATCTTTGCTTGTAAACACATCAATAGCTAAGTCCTCATCTGGTTCTACATCGAAGATGAATGTTTCAGTCTCCGATGCTTCAGTTGTTGTCATATCTGTATCAATAAGCGTGGTAGATTCTTCTAACATGTCTGAATAATTAGTATTTAAAGTGGTAGACTCAACATTCATTTCAGTGAAATCGGATATAGTGGTCAATGTATTGTTGGAAGATGATGATAAAGTTGTAGAGTTCATTTCAGCTGTTACGGTCTTGTTAAGCGTAGGTAGCTCTAGAACTTTCGCGAAAGGCACCTCTGTAAAATTATTACTTGTAAAATTAGCATCGAATTCAGTTTCTACGGGTTCTGTGGCAGTGATAGATTCCATATCGGTTGGGAATTCAGTAGTTTCAGCCTCTAGTACTAATGCGCCTGTGTTATTGTGAGTGATTTCAGTCGTTTCTGTTTCAGCAGGAAGAGTTGTGGCTTCAGCTGTAAGAGTCTGCGTTACATTTTCAAAAAATTCGCTTTCTGACGTGTTAGTTTTTTCAAACTCATCCATCAAAGTGGTATTTTCACTGAAGTTACTGTGTGTGGCAACCGCGTATTCTTCTTTTAATACTTGTGGGGATAAAGTTGTCATCTCTTCAACTTCCGATTTGAACGCCTCATCTGAAATTGTCGTATGGGTTTCGTTAGTCTCATTCACTTCAAGAGTGTGAGTTGGTGGCGTGAAAACTTCTTCTCCTCTCACTTCTTCAATAAATGTTGGAGTTAACATTGTTACATTCTCAAAGAATGTTTCAGTTGCATTTAATTCAGATAATGTGGTAAAATCAGTGGGAATTTCTGATTCGGTTGTGTTGTAATCTTCTGTATCGTTCATGGCAACAGTTTCTGGGAATTCTGTAGTTGTGAGAGCTTCTGTCGTTGTGTATATAACCGTAGTTGTTTCAGGTATGGTTGGACTTGGGGTAGTGGGTGGTATGATAACATAAATATTACTATCATATGGAATTTCGTACTGCTTTTGCCCTGTCACTTGATCAATATATTTCCTCATAGAGAAAAGGTTAGAGAAGACAGCTGGATGTTTACTGTATACCTCACAGTATCTTTGATATGTAAGCATACCAGCGAGGAACCATTTGTTGATGCCAGTTAAGCACATTAGTGGAGTACCTTCATCATTCTAAATAATATATAAAAAATAAACATATTAATATATATTTTGTAAAATTTATTTAAATGAAAACATAGTTTAATGCAAGCTTTTATTATAATAAAATTACTATTTAAGTTATATAAGTACGTTGATTTTATGTTTTACTTAGATGATGTGAAAAAAACGTGAATTAAACGTAAATGAAAGTAATTGACACACTAAAGTTTCGGTTCAAAAACAAGAACCTTGCTCAATGCCTACTTACTTATGTTACGGCCAAAGCCCGAAGTCGGCCAGATCGCGAATTGGCCGAGGGTGGCTGGCCAATGACCGATCGTTTCTTGATTTCAGGAATTGGCCGGATATAATTACATTTATTCGATGATATAATTACATTTATTCGATATTTTAATACTTACTAACGATAGACTACATTTATTCAATATTTTAATACTTATTGACGATAGATTTCATTTATTCGATATTTTAATGCTTACTGACGATAGACTAAAAGATAAATACCTGGCAAATGCATACCGTGCAGTGACACTGAACCTTAAAAAAACATCAGTGTAGGATATACCAGGCAGTGGCACTGAATCTTAAAATATCAGTGTAGGGTATACCGGACAGTGGCACTGAACCCTAAAAAACATCAGTGTAGCTCATACCGGGCAGTGACACTTGACCTTCAAAAAGCATCAGTGTAGGATATACCGGGCAGTGGCTCCTAACTAGACCTAGTATGACTAGACCTTTGGTAAATGTCCGAAATATATACTAGGTCTAGTTAAGTGCCACTGCCCGATATACATTTGCCCGGGCATTCTTGAATGAGCACATCGCGTTTTGGCCTGAACATCGTGGCCACTTCGCGAAATGGCCGATCAATTATTTCGCACTTTGGCAGATCTGGCCGGCCAATTCGCGAAGTGGCCGAGCTTCGGGCTTTGGCGTGTGACATATATATATATANAAAAAAAGGGGGGAGGGGAGAATAATAAGTAAAAAATAACAAACAAAGGTTTATATATATATATATATATATAAATTAAAAAAAAAACAACATTTTTTTTTATCTGCAAAACAACAAGTCCATCGACAAAAAAGGTCGGTCAAAAGTATGTTTGACATTATCTTCTACCGTCGATACCTCGCTCACGGGTGAGTTTAGTCGTGTGAGAAGAGGCCTCTTAACTTAGAACGATCGATTTGTGTAATTTTGCGAGACAGGTAACGAATAATTAGTGAAATGACTTACGTCGCAAATGGTATGTCCTTCGCTGCTTTGTGTACAGAGCATTCTTTGATTCACTGAGTTGTTGTAATGATCAAAGGTATTGCAGTTTTTCCTGTCTATTATCTGCAGGGCCAAACTATTGATGGACAAGACAGGTGGTGGAAGAGCTGAAAAAGAAAATTTCATTAAACAAAATGCATGTTTAACTCTCTTTTTTTTCTAGCATTTTTTCGTTCAAATGCACTATAACCTAGATCGTGCTAACCAAAAGAATACTAATATCCATATAATGATATCATACAATATCAGACAGATATTACAATATCCAAGCGGTATTATTAAGAGGGAGCTATGCAGCGGGATAAACTCTTTATGGTGAATTTGGTTTCATCTACATTGGCATTTTGAAATTTAAGGAAAAGAAAAAGTGAGTCCAAGTTAAACTAGAGTAAACCATAAAGTTTTAAATGCTGGAAAAATGTTTGAAAAATATTAAAATGTGAAGTAATTATGACTGGATTACTTTTTCCCTGCGTAATCCTGAGTGATCTTATTACCATTATTTGTTTGCGCAATATTTTGAAGAAAAAAATAATAACTTTGGTATTCGAAACCTCATGGTTTATTCTAGGTTTACCTAAAAATCACTTTTTTTCCCCACTTTGATTATACGATTTTATGGTTCAACTTGAATGAGAATGAAAACATGGTTCAGTTTAGCAATTCATTAAGGTTGCAACTAAGTTTCACCGTATCGTATTATGGTTTAAAGTACTAATATTATGGTATCTGCTTTAGTGGAGCAGGCAAGGTATGTACTCACCTCGTGGTTTTTCTGTTCCCAAAACTCCTGAAAAGCAAGTAATTCCAGGTGGAACTTGTTCTTCAGGGGGACATATAGCTCCGATTTTATCGCTTACAAAAACGAGAGCATGCTTGAGTCGAACCAAAGCTACATCGTAATCTCTCAAGATGAGGGATCTGAATTTTGAGGAGTGAGGATGCAGTATCATTCTGAGAACTTCATGGTTCTGAGCTAAACCTGATTCTGTATTTTGTCCGATGTTAGTTCGAACGTACCAGTCAGATCCGTTGAACGGGTTTTTGCTGCAAAAAAATAAAATAAAATAAATAAATAAATATTAATTTTTTTTTAAAAATGTAAAATGGAAATTCCGCAGAATTAGGATTCTAAAAGTGACAATTGCGATATTCCTGGGTTTTGCCATTTTGAGAAGTGGGGTACTTCATTAGAATTGGAAATTGAGGTTTCAGTTTACTCTCAGTTATTTTTGATGGCGACTTGAATCCAGCCCAGATACAGATCGATGGGTACAAGCTTATCGGGGAGAGAAGGCCGCAAGTACGCAAAAGGTGACCAAATTTTGTGATCATCTTGCCGTTGGTCTTGGAATTGGGGAGCTTTAATCTTCCAATGACGCCTGATCAAAAACGGGGGCTGTTGTGGGAATGCGGTTTTCTGCAAAATTGATCGTTAATAAAGCAAATTCCGCAGCAAAATAATAAAACAATTCACTTATTTGTATTTAAAATATTTGGTTATCTTAAATTGAGTTTCTAACAACATTTTGAAATTGTTGGAGAAAAAAGAAACGTGAAGTACTTGTTTAAAATTACGCAAGGCAAAAACTCACATTGAAAAAGATACAGAGTCAAAAAAAATATTCAGAAATTTTGCATCTACTGATTTTATTTCCTAGAATCCGAGCACAAGTAACTTCAGGTTGTAGTTTCTTTTATTCTTAATAATATTATCAGAATTCGTTTATAATTTATTTATTTAATTATATAAATACACTTCTCGGAAACTAGCATATTGTGTCAGAATAGAGTAATAAGAATACCTTATTGACAGGAGACAGTCGGCTGAGGTGAGAAGCCAAATCGGTGTGAGAATTTCAGACAAGCATCCGCGATTAGAACGGAATGTTGATGTATATCCAATAAATGGCCATTGACTAGATGTGGAGGAACTAAGAATATCTCTCTTTTTTCTTCGGTGAAGAAGACCAGTATATTCACCACAAGCTGAAATTTGAAATTCAGTTCACATCAATTTGTATAAGAGACATGCATATCTTTTTATTTTAATAAATTAATATGAGTATAAATTAGATAAATAAAGGAGACGGAATGCTTAGGTGCCATGGAGAGTATTACTTTTAATTTTGTTTTCCTGTTCCTTTTTTTCCGCTTTGTTTTGCGTATAGATTCTAGCACCATTTGGTTTCGTTATCACCCCCGCAGCAGAATTTGCGTAACTAACCTGCTGTACAATCTTAAAGTTAAATTCTTCTCCGACCCTAACACAGTCAGACAGAGATTATAAGTGTAAAAATTAGACTTAACCTAACATGTGTACTGCAATATTAGAGCATATTGAGAAGATAAAAATTGTACGCAAAAAACAAAAATGCTGTCAAAAATTTGTTATTTTTATTAAAATCTTTTAGACTATTTTAAATGAATGGAAAAATTGAAAATTAAGTTTTTCTCTTGTCATTTGAATTCTCTATTTTTCGAAAATCTAGCGAATTAAAGTCAATTAGTTGGAAATTTTGAGTCATCATATTTCGATTGCGTCTATTCCTGCAGATTTTCAAATACATTTTGTTATGTATTAAAAACAACGCGAATTAATTATTTAGAAGTTAAAAATGATTTTCTTTAGGTTTGGCTTAATAAAAAAAATATTAAATTAAAAACTTGAAAAATGATTTGCACATGCTCTCATAATCTACAGTGCTCGTTGCCGTGCTGAAGCATTTCTGCTACCGGAGTTATAAATATACTTTCCTTTAGAAACTATTTTCTTATGTATTATTTGTGGTCTAAATTGATTTTAGAGAAGCATAACAGCTTTTAACTCGTCTGTCATTTTACTGTAGTTATAAATCGTATCCAGTACTTTTCTTTGAGTGAAAGATGTTTAAAATTACAAATCTCTTGTGAATATCTCATTTATTTCTTTGGGTAAATTTATAATAAAATTATGCCATTTTTTGTATATTTTTTAAACATTATCATAAAAATTCTTATTTAATATAATTTTCTATTGTTTAATCACTTAATGAAGGTAAAGTGTATATATCGTGGTAAATTTAATATTAATAAAACTATACAAAATGTCTATATGAAGGAAAAAACTTAAACAAATAAACACATCTGAGGTCTAGAATGTAATACAAAAGTCACGCAGTTTAGCTTTAAAACAATTCTTAAAAAATAGATCATATATATTATAGATACAGGATTTTTTCGTACGTTTTAAATTGCCTTTAAGAAAAGCTTTTAAGAATTGCTTTCAACAAAATTTAAGAAAGTAGCATCAAAAAGAAGGAAAAAAACTCTAAAAAACTAAAAATCGTCTAATTAAGCTTTTAAATAAATTTGTTTACGTAATTAGAATGTTATAAAAATGAAGGCAAAATGTTATGAGGAAAATATATTTTGAACTAAAATCATAAAAAGAAAATTTCAAATTCTTTTGTTGATTAATTTCAACTACAAATATTGATATAACTTTTGTGATTAAATCAGGAGCGAAAATCTAAAATATTCAATGTATAGAACTCTGCAGTAAAAAAAATAAAATCATATGAGTAATATTTAAAACAGTACCAAATTTTTGGCATTCCACTTCGGCAGCTAAACTGCTTGTACAGCTTTCTACAAAAGACACTCTCTCAGTCCAAAGGGATGCATCCGTTAAATTTTCTCTCCTCATAGCCATCCAAGTACCGTTAAATGATACATGCAGTTTATCTACCTTCAGAGCATGCCTGCAATACAAAATGTTTTCTTTTTTAAATCTCATTCTAAGATGTGTTGAAATTTATTTTATTTATATATCTATACCGTGATTTCTGCCTTTAATTTATACCTTTAGAATCATTGTTAAGCAAAAGTATGCACATAAGATGTCAAATCAATATTTGAAAGGAAAAAAAATCTGGCAAGGTTTTATTTTATAATCGGCGTTGAACAGTTGACCCAATTCTGAGTTTACGATTATCAATGTTCCACTCCGTACTCTTATAATTTTGAACCCAGCCTCGAAGACTAGAGAACACTTGAAGTGGAATAAATGAGCCTTCATGCAGGTCTTTTTGATGTAACTAATCTTCATTTGCGTTACATGGTGAGGAAAATCACGAAAACCTTCCATGGTTAGACCGGTGGTAAGGGGATTCTAACCAATGATCCGTCTACTTCTGAGGATATTTTATGTTAGCACTGTAGTTTGTGCGAGCCGGAAGAAAAATTCGTATCAACCAGCCACCGCTGGGATCCGAACCTGGAGTACCTTATTGGAAGGCGAATGCTCTATCATCTGAGCCGCCACGACAAAGTTCACCAAATAATTAGTGAGAAAGGCGGTTCGAAAAATCTCAAAAACAGTTCATTGACAGATGAACTTTAAAAATGTTTCTAACATTCGTCTTTCTATTGTTTGACTATTGGTCAAGTAGGTTTTCAGTCTTCATCAGTAGTATTGTTAGATTTTGCTTTTCCCTGGGAATATATGTATGTTATTAGTCATGTGGTCATGTGCTTGTTTGTACCTCCGGATTCGCATACGCGATATTTTCACATGCATTAAGAAATTGCCTTTTTTTTATGCTTCCTATTTAGCAAGCAATTTGAAAATATATATTAACAGCGATGATTATAGAACATACTGTATGTCATTATTAAAACATCTTTATTCAAGTTCTTAATTAAAAATGAAAGAAACAAATCGATAAAAATTAGTTATAAAACGTATATTTAAAAAAAAAATTGTAACTTTAGTTCGCTTACCCAAAACCAAGTTCTTGACAAAGATAATGTCCATCATCGAGATTGAAGTCCTCTGCGCAGAGCATGGCCCACGTTCCAGAGTAAGGTTCATATGTAGTAACCATGTGTTGCGCATCTACATTGACACAGCCCATCTCGTCGTCTCCATCATGACAATCCCTGTGTCCATCGCATCGACTTGAACTCTTCAAGCATTTACCATCACTACATTGGAACTCGTCATTCAAACAAGCTGGTGGAAAAAAATAGATCATGATTGATAAGAAAGATTTCGAATACATAAAATGTTTTCGAAGTGAACTAAAAAAGAAAAAGTTATTTTCGCTACACCTGAAGCGAAACGCACAGGGTGGTGATACAACAGAAAATTCCAAACAAGAAAAAGTGCATTTTAATCAGGGAAATGCTTCTTCCCCTCAATATACTAAAGGTTTCAGGTCTAAAGGTTTTCCCTCTTCACGCTCTTCCCCACTTCTGTATCCATGATTTTAGCAAATTTTGTTATTTTTCCCACGATAGAATGTTTCTGTAAGAAGTTGGAGTACATTTGGGACGGGGGGGGGAGCATTTAAGGAAACCATGGTAACGGTGAGGGGAAAAGTGTGGATTGTGGAGAAATCAAGTAACCTCGAGGGGCCTACTCTCTTTACAAAGAGTATGTTTTTATTTTATTTTATAACCGTCGTTGAACAGCTGACCCAATTTCGGGTTTAAGACTACCAATGTTCAACTCCGTAGCCTTGTAATTTTGAACCCAATCCAGAAGACGAGGAAACTTCTGGATCGAGTATTGGGATAAATTTGCTTTCGTGCAGGACCTTTTGATGTAGCTAAACCACATTTGTAGTTTGTACATGGAGAGGGAAATCACGTAACCCAATTCTGAGTTTGCGATTTTCAATGTTCAACTTCGTAACCTTGTAATTTTAAACACAATCTAGAAAACAAGGCAGCTCCTGTATCAAGTAATAGGGGAAATTTGCCTTCGTGGAGGACTTTTTGATGGAACCCGCATTTGTGCTTCATGGAGAGGGAAGCCACGAAAACCTCCCACGGTTAACCTGACCGCAAGGGCACTTTAACCCATAATCCGTCTATTACCGAGGATATTTTACGTCACCACTGTGGTCGGTGCAAGCCGGGTGTTGAATTCGTATCGACCAGCCATCACCGGGATTCGAACCCGGTTTACCTCATTGAAAGGCGAACGCTCTATCCCCTGAGCCATCACGTCTCAAAGGGTATGTTTGATGACTCCCTGCCCCTTAACTCCTTACACAAACACAGCTACGTGTAATGAGCGCAATCTTGGTACTACAGTGACTTTGTTGCTAGAATGAGAACAAAGATATTTTACATTGTGGCCGGTATTGCATTGTGGTCGGTATGAGCCGTTAGTAGAATTCGTATCAACTACCCACCTCTGGAATTCGAACCTTGGGCACCTCCTTAGAACTAAACAATTTTTTAATCCTAAAAAAGTAACCTAATATTAAATTTCTTAACAAAATGAATAGTAATTCATAGTATTAGAAGACATTAAATTATAGGTTGCGCTGTTAACTGACATACCAACCAAGGATTCTCTTTACCAGCAATAACACGGGTTTATAAATTTATTCAAATTTGTAAATAATTGAGAAATGATTATTTTTGTATTATTTCTCCTAGTTTTGTGCCTTAACACTACATTTTCGAGATGAACCTTTATTAATAAATCATTTACGTACTGCAATTTCCTTCATCCTCTTTGTCTTTACAGTCAAATTCGCCATCGCATTTCAGAGACCAAGGAATGCAAAGTCCATCGTCACAGAAGAATTTTCCGTTCGATTCACAAGTCGTCCTCTCCACTGAAATTAATAAAAGATAATTCAATTCAAATGAAATTAAATAAAAAAATAATTCAATTCGAGTTATTCAAATTCAAATAATCTACGAACATCTTGAAAATTTTATTTTATTGAAATTTATAATTTATTTCAAATAACATTACTTTCATTTTATTCAACGAAAAATTTATGTCATTTAAATTGATAAATTTCACATAAAAGGATTTTTATTTAAATTTTTTTCCAGTTATTTCTATTTATTTTTGATGTATGCAACCAAATTAGTTTAAAATGATGCAAATGAAATGCTAAATCAACTATTCAAACTCGTTTTAAAGACCCTTATCTATATCACATGCTTACTGGGTATTTCGTAATGACCGCTCTTAATACATATTTTGAGAGTTTTTTTTTATCAAAAATTAAGTAAAAAACGTATGTACATTAGGGGCATTAATATTAGCACGCTCATTAATATTTAAGAGCAGATAAGACAAAAATGCTATCGAATCACTGGTAAGGAATTCGACACTGAAGAAAAACCCCTCTCAGTTTCATCTGGCAATCAAACTGGTTTTAATGATTTTACCTTGCTTCTCTCACTAGCGATTCGATAGCTTAAATATTAATTTGCAACCTTCGATGAGCAGCCTTTGTTTTTATAAACTTTATTTTTGACAAGTTTTAAAAAATATAAATATTGAATAGATTGAGAATATCGGTTCTTAACATTATTATGCATGTAAAATGTTACAGCTTATTCGTGTACTTTTCTTCCTATAATATTGCAATAGTGTTCTGAAATTTCTACCTTTATTACTCACAAAACTTAGTTAAAAAAAGCTTGTCTGAAAAAGAATAAAATTGTAAATGAAAGGAAACAGTTTGTTGGCAGTTTTTGGGAAATTCAGATTTGAAATCTTATTTTAGAGAGTTATTAAATAAATTCCGCGAAGAAGCCACCGGAATTGTTATAATCTTGAAATTTTTTTCTGTGGGAGAAAAAATTGTGAATTATGCAATTTTTCCAGAAAACTAAAATTTTGAAACTTATTTTCACACAGAAGTGAATTTCAACAAATTATCTTGACAGATCTGTCATAAATTTTTAGTTTCAAAGTTTGAAAAAGAGATTAAGATATTTTTTTTTGTATCAAAAAAGTTTTTGATGATAAAAATCCCTAAAGTTACAGTGTTGAAATGTATATTTGTCTAAGAATAAAGTGGTAGCTAAAATGAGGTGTCGTAAGACAAGCTCTAATCGTAGTCATTTAAATTTCAACAAACATTCTCAAATTCTGATAATAATAATATTCTTATATAATTTGTTTCATAAAGATATGTGCTTTATGTATGCAAATACCAATTCATTCGACCTTGTTAGAGATTGATGCAGCATACATACGTATAATATGAACAAACTGCCCCAACAATTTTTTATGCGTAAAATAAATAGTAAAATACATTACTGACACACATAAATTAATGATTGCATAACACACGTAATTTTATAAATAATAATTATGATGAATTATAACTTAATTTATGATAAATAAAATAACCCTAATATTTTTCATAAATAATACGTTAGCACTGATTCATACCACATCCAACTTCATCACTTCTGTCTTTACAGTCATACTTCCAGTCACAAATGTCTACAGGTTTAATACATTTACTTCCATCCGAGCACATAACTTCATGTTTGGCACACTCTGCTGGTCCTGCAAATTGTGTAGTGCAAAAAGAGTCATTATATGCATAACTGAGCAATATAAATAGAATGAATAAGCAGAATACTTTCGCAATTTGTTTTAATTTTAAGAAACGTACACAGTTATACTACCCATCTATAAGAATGAATGAAAGAAATCATCTATCCACAACAGTGAAATAAATGAATTTTAATTTTAAGAAACGCACTCAGTTATACTACTCATCTATAAGAATGAATGAACTATCTACAACAACGAAATTCGTGAATTTTAATTTTAAGAAACGCACCCAGTTATACTACTCATTTATAAGAATGAATGAAAGAAATCTATCTACAGCAGTGGAATTAGCACGTGACACCGAATATATCCAATCGACACAAAATAAATAAAATACTATTAATTAATAATATTCTATTAATAAATTTGAACTCATTAGGTGTTCTTATTAAACATAGGTTGCTTCAAATATAATGTTAGTGCTTTAGAGTTAACAATCTAAGTTATGATGGAAATATTTTGTTTTATTTAATCTTTTAATTGGGTTGTGCCGACCCAATTCTGAGTTTGCGATTTTTTAAATTCAACTTCGTAGCCTTGTAATTTTGAACACAATCTAGAAGACAAGGCAGCTTCTGGATTTAGTATTGGAACAAACTAGCCTTCCTGGAGGACTTTTCGAGGGAGCTAACTTGCGTTTCATGAAAAGGAAATCAACGAAAACCTCCCACGGTTAGCTCGACGGCAAGGAGATTCTAACCCATGATTTCCGGAATTATAATTAGAAATATAAAAAGAAAAACCTGATAGAAAATAATTTTACATACTGCAATTCTCTTCATCTGTTCCATTGTCACAATCCCATATTCCATCGCAACGTGCCTCACTCATAATACACGTGCTTGAGTTCGAGCACATGAAATTCGAATGGCAACTATCTTGGCCTGTTATGTCAAATAAATAATATTAGTACATAGTATGCTTAGCAGATACTAGAATGCCAACAATAGAATAATAATAGAATAAAATAGAAGAATAATGGAATAAAAAGAAGAAGAATAGAATAAATAGAAGAATAATAATAGAATGAATAGAATAATAATAATAGAATGAATAGAATAATAATAATGGAATAAATAGAATAATAATAATAGAATGAATAGAAGAAGAATAATAGAATGAATAGAATAATAATAATAGAATAAATAGAATAATAATAATAGAATAAATAGAATAATAATTGAATAAAATAGAAGAATAATGGAATAAATAGAAGAATAATAGAATAAATAGAAGAATAATAATAGAATAAATAGAATAATAATAATAGAATGAATAGAATAATAATAATGGAATAAATAGAATAATAATAATGGAATAAATAGAAGAAGAATAATAGAATGAATAGAATAATAATAATAGAATAAATAGAATAATAATAATAGAATGANACTATCTACAACAATGAAATTCGTGAATTTTAATTTTAAGAAACGCACTCAGTTATACTACTCATCTATAAGAATGAATGAACTATCTACAACATTGAAATTCGTGAATTTTAATTTTAAGAAACGCATTCAGTTTTACTACTCATCTATAAGAATGAATGAACTATCTACAACAATGAAATTCGTGAATTTTAATTTTAAGAAACGCACTCAGTTATACTACTCATCTATAAGAATGAATGAACTATCTACAACAATGAAATTCGTGAATTTTAATTTTAAGAAACGTACCCAGTTATATTACTCATTTATAAGAATGAATGAAAGAAATCTATCTACAGCAATGGAATTAGCACGTGACACCGAATATATCCAATCGACACAAAATAAATAAATAAATAAAATACTATTAATTAATAATATTCTATTAATAAATTTGAACTTATTAGGTGTTCTCATTAAACATAGGTTGCTTCAAATATAATGTTAGTGCTTTAGAGTTATCAATCTAAGTTATGATGGAAATATTTTGTTTTATTTAATCTTTTAATTGGGTTGAACAGCCGACCCAATTCTGAGTTTGCGATTTTCAATGTTCAACTTCGTAGCCTTGTAATTTTGAACACAATCTAGAAAACAAGGAAACTCCTGGATTTAGTATTGGAACAAATTAGCCTTCCTGGAGGACTTTTCGATGGAACTATCTTGCATTTCATGAAAAGGAAATCAACGAAAACCTCCCACGGTTAGCTCGACGGCAAGGAGATTCTAACCCATGATTTGCCTATGATTTTAACCCATGATTTCCGGAATTATAATTAGAAATATAAAAAGAAAAACCTATTAGAATATAATTTTACATACTGCAATTCTCTTCATCTGTTCCATTATCACAATCCCATATTCCATCGCAACGTGCCTCACTCATAATACACGTGCTTGAGTTCGAGCACATGAAATTACTATGGCAACTATCTTGGCCTGTTATGTCAAATAAATAGTATTAGTACATAGTATGCTTAGTAGGTACGAGAATGCCAACAATAGAATAATAATAAAATAAATAGAAGAATAATAGAATAAATAGAAGAATAATAGAATAAATAGAAGAATAATAGAATAAATAGAAGAAGAATAGAATAAATAGAAGAAGAATAGAATAAATAGAAGGATAATAGAATAAATAGAAGAATAACAGACTAAATAGAAGAATAACAGACTAGATAGAAGAATAATAGAATAAATAGAAGAATAATAGAATAAATAGAAGAATACTAAATCAACAGTTTAAGCTAAATGAAACTCACAATCAAATTCATCTGTTCCATCAGGACAATCCAAGATTCCATCACACATGTAGGAATTATTCAAACAGCTATTCAGCGGTTCACAAATGAATTGGTCTGTATTAATAAAAATATATCATAAAAATTAAATAAAGCACAATAGATTTTCAGATTGCGCGACATTGACATGGATTGTTCTCACAAAATTAGTAATTTTCGTGTCCTCAGTGAACATTGTTTAACCTTTTGTTGGCACAGATTGAACTCCTTTGGTTGTCCTTTTTATATATATATATATATTTCCTGACGTTCTAATTGCAAGCAGAAATATGTTTCGGTTTTTTTAATTATTGAAAACAGTTTAATAGTTACTAAAAAAATCTGTTAGATTATCGGAATTAGATTTGTATTAAAATCCGAAAAAAGTAGTGAGGAAAAATTTTGCTTTTCATTCATTCAAAAATTTTTCAATAATTTATGGATAACTTTTCTTTTAGATCTATTCAAGTACAAATTTAAAAAATTATTAGTATTATTATTTTTTTCGTTGGCTATATTTTATTACACAGATGGCGCAGAATTCAAATTTCGCATAAATTTTGGGACACTCTTTACATACTCATGAGAATAAGATTAGGCTATATTATTTATTTATTTATTATTTACCGTAAAAAAAATATTTTATTTAGAGATTTACCCACGAACACTACGAACTTTTTAAATTTTACATTTATCTATTTTTCTTAACGACTGAGAATGATTTCATTTCAAAATATAAATAATTTTTTTTGAACTTAATTTGAAACAGTTGTACGTTGAAATTTTATTTCAAAGTTTGGTTCTTTATAAAACATTATTTCTTATATCAATCAATTTTACTGAAGCAAGAAAAGATTTTTCACTTTTCTTAGAAATTTTCATCATTTTTGTAAGCTTATACAGCCTCAGACTTAAACATCAAAACTTGAACTATTTTTTAAAGTTTTTTTATTTTTATTTTTACAAACAGCAATTCTATTTTAAACTTCAAAATAACGCAAGAAGCAGAAATAAAAAAAATAGTTTAAAGGAAACAGCTGTTTCAGTGCTATTAACAAGCATCATTACTTGCGTCAAGATGGAAAATTATGTTTTTGTCCCGTCACTAACAATGATGCTTGTTATCTACTTGCTATTAAATATATTAGTTGCATATAGCTGTTCGCTTGTTATCAGCATCTGAACAGTTATATGAATCTAACATATTTTCTTCATGCTATTTATAAGTTTAGACCTTTCGCTGGCCTTGGGAAGATTATTTTTCACCTACATGATCTAATAAAACATAATTATGGGAAGCGCAAAAATCACTATTATATATTGTTATTATAATGATGAGAACACTAATTTCTGCTTCAGTTTTGCTCTATAATCTACAATGTATGCTTATTTGGTAGTCAGTGAGTGTAGGAAATCATATGCCAAAGATGATTTCCAACTATAGACGATGTATGAAATGTATCACAAAGGTTGGAAAAGTAGTTATTTGGTTATTAGTCAATGTGGAAAATCATATGCCAAAGATGATTTCCAACTATAGACGATGTAGGAAATGTAGCACAAAGGTTGGAAATGTAGCTACTTGGTTATTAGTCAATGTGGAAAATCATATGCCGAAGATGATTTCCAACTGTAGACGATGTATCACAAAGGTTGGAAAAGTAGTTACTTGGTTATTAGTCCATGTAGAAAATCATATGCCGAAGATGATTTCCAACTATAGACGATGTAGGAAATGCATCACAAAGGTTGGAAAAATAGTGACTTTGTTATTAGTCAATGTGGAAAATCATATGACAAAGGTGATTTCTAACTATAGACGGTGTAGGAAATGAATCACAAAGGTTGGAAAAGTAGTTACTGGTTATTAGTCAATGTGGAAAATCATATGCCAAAGATGATTTCCAACTAGAGACGATGTAGGAAATGTAACACAAAGGTTGGAAATGTAGCTACTTGGTTATTAGTCATATGATTGAAAATCATACGATTTCCAATTTAAAAAAAATAAGAATAAGAAAAACGGGGATAAATTTAAAAATTAAATGACCAACGAAAGTGTAAATTTATCAGAATCAGTTATGTTTTGATTATGATTCTATTTATGAATTATTTTCAAAATTGATTTGAGTGGGAACTGATAGAAAGAGTGATTAAACTTATTTATTGAATTGCTTACCTTCTCTGCACTCGATGCCTGCGATAGCCATTGTTGTAGTTGTTTCATTTAATATATCCTCATAGGTTGGGGTGGTAAAGTTGGCGTAGTCTTCATTGTAGTTTAAACTACCGTCAGATATGTTAAAATTTGCTGTAGGTGTTAAATCAGAAGTAATGTTCTCATTTATTTTGTGAGATCTATATAAAATATCTTCACCAGCTACAGTAACATTTTCATCTTGAGTTTCAACTGTTTTTAAATCTTTTGGTATTGCTGTAGTTGTATCACTTTCATTTATAGTAGTTTCAATTGTATCGTTATATGTTATGGTTGTTTCACTATCAAATATATTTGTTGTTGGTAATATTACTTCCGCATATGGTGTAGCATTTGTGGTTGTTTCAGTTGCTGTTGATTTGTCTGTATTGGATTCCATTAGGGTGGTCTCGGTTTCAGCACCGGTTGTTTCTGTATGTGGTAACGTAAGAAATTCTGTTGTTTCATTAAAAGATTCAGTTTCGTTGCTCAATGAGGAGACAGTAGTTGTTTCCATACCAACTATTTCATAAGGAGTTGTTTCCGTGTTATCAGTTTCAAAAGGAGTTGTTGCCGTATTATTTATTTCATAAGGAGTTGTTTCCGTTTCCAATAATATATTTGGTGTTTTAACTAATAGAGTTCCAGCTATTGTTGTTACTGTTTGATTTTCAGAAATTGGCTGCACAGTAGTAGTTGCACTATTTATTTCAGTTATATGTTCATTTGTGGCAGTGTAATTTTCAGTAGTTTCTGTTGTTGTTTCTATTTTATCATTTGCTACGTTTGTAATAGATGATATGTTTGTAGAAGTGACGTTGCTATGATCCAGTTCGTCAGTATTAATAAAAGGTGTTGTGCTTTCTGGAGTTGTTGGGAAAGTATTTGTAATCATTGATTTCTGTGTTGTAACGCTACTACTTTGAGTTTTTAATCCTGGTGGTGGCGTTTCTGTTTCAATTTCTAATATATCTGTCGCTGTTTCAGTTTCTTCCAACGGCTTAGTTGTTGTTACATCATATGCTTCAGTGGTTTCTGTTAAATCAGTTTGAATAGCTTTCGTTTCTCTTTCCATGGGAACTGTTGTCAAAAATGGAACATTTGTCGTTCCAACGCTTGTATTGTCAGCCTGAATTGTAAAGTTTTCTGTTTGGTTGCCACGAAGAATTTCTTTCTCAACACCTTCAGTTTCTAGCGTAGTGAGATCATCTATTTCTGAGGGATGCGCAGTTTCAGGAGAAAATGTAGTTACGTTTTCGTCTTCCCGAAAACCAGCAACTGTAGTTACTTCAGTTTCCCATCCATTTTGAGTAGTTTCATCTGCTTGCGTTGTTTCTTCTGTTTCAGTTAATTCCGTCCCTAAAGTAGTTTCTGACGTAGTTTCTTCAGTGGCCAAAAAAGTTTCCGACGTACTGTAGTTTGAGGTGTTATCGATGTTTGGTATTATTGTTGTCTCAGATTCATTTAATGATTTTAAAAATGTTGTGGGTTCGTGTATACCAGGACTTTTGGTAGTTTCATGAAGCAAGCCTGGTTTTGTATTGGTGGTTGGTTCAGTTTCAAGCATAGAGTCGGTTGTTGGTTCTGTGTGATGCATTGCATTTGTTGTAGTTAAGACATTCGTTATTGTTGTGGTTTCATTTGGAATCAGGACTGGCAAGTCTCCTGAAAAAATAGCAGTTAGAGTTTCATTGCTTAAATTTTGATCTGTTAGTGATTTGTTGCCGATCGGCAATCCAACCGATACTGGTGGCGTTGTAGTTTCAGCAAATGGATGCATAGTTGTATTTTCAAGACCCGTTTCTTCATAAATGCGTGTAAAATGTTCAAAATCCGAAAAATTGTCATAAGACCTAACACCTGGTGTTCGATTAAATTGTGGAGTTAAAAAAGGTTGTTGTAAAGTTGTGTGTGCATTGGGTGCTTCGGTAGTAGTAAGCTCATCTTCATTAACATTCACTGCTGTTGTTAATGGCGGTTCAGTTGGTGGTTCACTCGTTTGAGTTATCTTTTCAGAAAAATAAGTAGTTGTGTCTATCTCAGGAAGCAAAGTTGTGACTTCCATTTCCTTTTTCCACAGTTCTTCCGCTTCTGTAACCTGTCTTGTTGTGAACTCCGAAATTGTAGTCGGAGTTTCCATTTGGTCAGTATTCTTTGAAGGTATTGTACTATCATAATTTGTTGTTATTTTTTCTATTTCTGGAGTTTGAGGTTTTGTTGTTGTAGTTTCAGTAGCATTTTCTGCAAATTCTGTTGGATAGTCAGTAAATGTTTTCACTGTATACACTTCTGTTGGGGTGTCGATTATATGATATTTCAAAGTTGTCTTATCTTCAATGATTTCCTTGTAAGTAGAACTAGAAGTTTGCTGTTGTTCAGTTGCTACATAGGGAGTTGTTTGCTCGAATACAGGCTTTTCAGTAAGAGTTGTCGGTTTCTTTTCTATGTCACCTACTTCAGCAATTATACTAGGAGTAGTTTCCTTGAAAGTCAAGGTTTCTTCTTCCAAGAGTGTTGTAATTTCAGTTTCTGCAAGAGTTGTCAATTCTGTTTCTGACGCAGTTGTTAATTCCGTCTCTGTTTCGGTTGTTGGTTCAGTTTCTTCAACGTTCAATGTAGTGGCTTCCGTGGGATTGAAACTTTCTTTTCGATCATAATTGAATGTTGTAATTTCTTCATTTGGTAAAAAATCATGGATTGTTGAAATGGGCGAAATAGGAGTAGTGAAAAGCGTAGTGGGCTGGCCACGCACTATCGTATCTTCTTCAATAGCCTTTCTTGTTACAGATTCAAGTACAGTTGTATCGTGTATTTCTGTTATTAGCGGTTTTTCAGAGGGCACGAAAAAATGAGTTGTTGTGTACTCTTGTGTTGTCAATCGTTCGTTGTAAACTTTATTTCCTGTGGTCTGAACAGTGGTTGTTTCTGTTGGTGGTGAGTATCTTGGGGTTGTCGGTTGTTTCGTTAATGTACTCAGAGAAGGTGAAACAGTGTGCTTGGCCTCACTAGTAGTCGTTATTACTTTCGTACTAGGAACCGTTGGTGGAGGATGTAGTTTAGATCCAACGACAGGTATTGCAGTACCTAAAATATAAATTTATTCTCAAAATGTAAACCTTCTAATTTTAATATTTTACAATTTAAAATGAGTTTTCAAAAGGGTTTTTAAATGTTTAAAATCATTTACTTGATTCTTTAAATCCACAAGATTTTCCATCAGTTTGTAGATACGTGTTTACTGGACAAATACAAGACTTAACTAAAGTGTCGTAGTTCCATGAGCAATCATAGGTGCAGCCTCCTTTTTGAATACGACATTCATCAAATACTTCTGTAAACGGAAACATACAACACTTAATATAGGGTGCTTTGCGATGACCACCTTTAATATGCATCTTAAATATAATTCTAAGAAATATAGCTTTGAGTTTATATTTAACCGAAAAATATAAAAAATACTTTTCGAACTCTGACCAACAGCTATTGAATTCAATAAGAGCAGAAAGTCTAAAACCGATTTATTAAAAAGTGAGTGAAGCTCAAGAACGGTTCCTAGATTCCGTGCGATTCCAGCATTCCAGTCTCATTAGGCAAATAATCTGGTTTTTGATTGATTTACTCCGTCTTTAACTCTTACTGACTTCAATAATGATTGGTTATGAGTTACGATAGCTCTGTGTTTTAGGTACTAAACTGTCATTTCGAAACACTGGGGTGCTACCCATCGATCTGAAGCTACCTAGCTTCAGATCGACGGGTATCAGTTTGTCTAGGAAATAAAGACGTCCTTTGTGTAATCATGCCATTGGTCTCAAAATTGTGGAGTCTTAACCCGCATTACCTCCTTGCTCACAATGGGCTGCTGCGGATGTTTTTCACTTTTTTTTACGTAGGATTACAGTTTCGAATTTTTCCCTTACATAAATATTAATTTGCAAAACGAAACTTGAACAATTTTCATATTCCTTTTATTAGGATTCAATAATATTTATTGAGGGAAGTAATTACAGAACATTCTAAATATTTTCGCTATTGCCTCATTAAAACATTAAAATGGGCGCAATATAATGCATAATGGGTAGAAAATTATCTGCCACAAATTTTATTTCTATTATTTTTGATGTCATTTTGAAATGTATGTTTGATTAAATTCCAAGATCAAGATATTTATTGTAATTTATTATTAATTATTTATAGTTCGTGCTAAAAAATGTCAGTTATTTTTAATTATTATTTTTTTTCACGTTTACTTAATCTGTGGGTTGAAGGAAAACTAACGCTATTGGTTTTTAGTCCAGTAATTATAGAAAAAAAAGGGTGATTCTCCGGGAAAATTAATACCCAAGATATTTTTTGAGAAAAAGCTTTGTTATGCTATTATGTAATGATTCATATTTTCCAATGTACTGTTTCAAGCTGAACCTATCCCGAGATAATCAGACAAATAGTTTCGAAGGAAAATATACCTTACACGTTCAGATTCCCTGGATAGCAATGTAAGGTTTATGCATATTAGAGTGCCAAAAGAAGTACTTTCTATAAAGAAAAAATCTTGCAACTATTTGTTCGATTAACTCGTTTCTAGTCTCATTTGATTCAGCGCGAAACATGCTTATGAAATCATGTTTCCAACTAGTTTCGACAGCAAAGTGTAAATAGGTATAATTGCGTAACAGGTGCAAGTGAAAATTTTTACATTTTGTGCATGAAACGATTATAAATTTTAAATTATTAGTCGAATCGTTTCGGGATTGGTCTCATTCAATCCATCATGAAAGAGTACACAAGAAAATATGTCTGACTGGCTTGTATAAAAGAAATTCCATTTTTCCCATCAAATCACCCCCATTTTCCTCAAAAGAGGGGGAAAGCGTACTGAGGTGGGTAAAGAAGTTTTCAGGTATCGTTTATGACAACAAAGTTTTCTGGTATTCGAAACTAAATATGCGGTATTTAAACCATTCATTTGGTAATTTTTCCGTTTATGCGGTAACGGTTTACTGGAAATTTTGGTTTTCAAGATAACAGTTCTTATTATTACTCATTTAGTAAAAAATACAAACCGGAAAAGTAAATTTAACTGAATAAATGGTTTTTATGCCTTACAAGGTATCATAGTAAAATTACCAAATTTTACTTCATTTACCAAATATATCACATTTTAAAATACATATTATAAAACCATTATAAAATCATTATAAAAACTATTATAAAATATACACATATTACACCTATTACAAAACCATTTTGACAAAATCATCACTAAAGCGTTTCGGTCAAAATTACCGAGCCGTTTGGTGTTCCCATAGAGCCAGAAATATGGTACATTTTACCATATTTTGACCATACTTTTCTTCTCAGCTTATATCGTAATAAATTAGTTACAAGTTTATTGCTCAATTTTTTGTAAATTAAATTTAGATTAATTACAGCTGTTTTTAGTGCATTATTTTTTGTTAAAAAGAAATAATCATCGAGCAATTATGTTATATGGAAAAGATGAATATGCAGGGTTAAAATTTTAAATACTTTTAAAATTTAATTTTAGAGTTAAAAGAACTTTTCTTTTAATAAGCTTAAACAATGAACTAAAAACAGCTCAAATTTTACTTCTAAACAATGTATGAAGTATTTCAAACTTGTGGAAAAAAATCATCAAAAGCTTTTAAACATTTCTTTATGACTCAATTGTTTGAACCTTTTTTTTAATACTTTCTTTTCATTTACTACAATGATTAAAGGGTGCTTAAAATATGTAATTGTGTTTGCTTTCAATGCAACGCGAATAACTGCAAAATTCAATGTATTCATTTTATTTTAGAATGTTTAAATACGGAGTAAAACTTACTCGTTAATTATACACTAAAATAATATCCTATCTTTTTAGCAAAAAGTATTTTGAGATCATTAAAATTCTATTAAAAAAATTTCTTACCAGTGAAATGAATAGAATTCAAGTCGACATGGAATAAATTAAAAAAAGAGTTGTTCTTCTTTCCTAGATCTGTTTTCAATATTTCTGAAGCTCTTGATGGTGGGATGACTGGTTGATTAGGTTTCCAAACCATTACAAATTTAACTTTTATGCTACCTGGCCTGAAGAAAATAATTGCGAAATACTTGCATTAAAATAACATCTAACTTCATTTCATTATTAGCAAAATATGGGATGTCACAAAAACGATCGACGAAATACGATAAGAATGAACGGTTTATTGCGTTCTGCTTAGAAAATGAGGTATTTTCTTCTTGCCAAGTTACAGAATTCGTGTCAAAGTTTGTCACTAGATGGCGCTGTTAACTGAAGGTAAAATATTCAATTTTTTTTTCTTTAAATAGCCATCATTCCCAAGTGTGCTGCGGTCGAAGAAGAAACTAACAGAGACTTGTTCAAATATTTCAGTTCGAATAATCTAAAATGCAGCAAAAAACATTGCTTTATATTTTGCTTGGTATCGCCATCTGTTAATGCATTTTGAAACTAATTTTGAAATTTGTTGAGTTGATTACTATTTTTTCCTAAGCAAAACGCAGCAAACCGTACATTTTTATCTTTTTACCATGTCTTGACTCATTTTTCAAATCGTAGATCATTTTGAGAGCATCCTGTAAAATTCGTAGAAAATAATATTCAAAACTTCGTACCTAAAACTAAGAATTTGCAATTTTTCGAATTCTATTCTGTTCTCCTGGAAGGTTTTACGAAGCTGAAAAATTAAAATTCAATTAAATATATACATAAAAACGTTGTTTCGATTTTGTTATTTATGAAATTTCACTTACCTCTTTTTCTAAGTTATGTGCTAAAGTCATGTAATATTGAGAACTTTTATCATTTAAATCATCAGTGAAATTTTCATCGATAATTGTGAATTCTCCTACTAGAGCATTTGGCACTATAATAACAGAAGAAAAAAAATTGCATTTCAGTATGAGTAAGTTGCATGACACTGTTACTATTTTGAATTGTTAAGTACTTCTAAAATGGAACGAATTGTTTTTAGAGCGAAGAATAATTTAAAATTGTTCTATACATCAATCAATATTTATATTTTCATTCATTATCTGTCCGAATTTTTCAGTACAGCTCGTATGAAAGCTGTGTGAATTTTGACTGTCAAATAGTTGTTCTTTGCTGATTGTCCGATTAATATGTAAAATATCTGTATTAGATATTTATCCGGTCATTGGACTAATAACAGGATGAATAATAAAATGATAAGTATACCAGCAGTGCACGGCATTTATAGTGCTGCTTTGAGGAGAACTCCTTCAGACTAAAAGTCTGGGGCTGTCTGCTGTTATGGTAACAAGCGAGAGCACATTTCTAATGGGGTGAAATGGAGAGATGAAAGCGTCGATTGGTTTACTCAAGCTGACCTATGCAAAAATCAAGACAAAACTATTCACCCCACACCCCTATTCTAAGTGACTTTTCATCGTAACCATGGTACCTGCCACGACGCGAGACTGATGTCTGGAGGAGTTCTCCTGAAAGCCGCACTATACTAGTTTAAGTGGGAAACAATATCTAACAGAAACTGTTTAATTCAATGTTTTCTGCCACACCATACTTAATGTCAACTTTGTCGGTGTCGGTGGAATTTAGAAATAATGATACTTATTAGAAAATGTTTTATTTAACATTTATCACCAGTACATGCTGAATGTCGACATGAAATCCATGATCTCTCTACTACTGAGGATATTATACGTCAGCACTGTGGTCGGTGCGAACGGAATGCGGAATTCCGTATCGACCAGCCATCGCTGAGATTCGAACACCCGGTTCACCTCATTGGAAGGAGAACGCTCCATCCCCTGAGCCCTCACTGCTTATGTGAGGCAGGGTGATTTTGCTTAATATCGGCAAGCAATAATATAATATGTAAAGCAGGTTGATATTTTTGAATGTCGGCATGTAATAATACAAGTTGATATTGCTGAATATTGGCGTGTGTTATGTATGAGACTGGTTGATATTGCTAAATATTAGCGTGCGTTATGTATGAGACTGGTTGATATTGTTGAACGTCGGTTTATATTGCTGAAGGTTGGTACTACTGAATGTTATCATATAAAATAATAACTGAGGCAGGTTGATGAGTGTAAGGTATCAATTAGAAGAGGAACTTTAGGAATGACTTTAGGAGTGCAAATCGGATGCGGAATTCGTATCGACCAGCCATCGCTGAGATTGGAACACCCAGTTCACCTCATTGAAAGGTAAACGCTCTATCCCCCGAGCCCTCACTGCTCATGTGCGACAGTGTGATTTTGCTTAATGTCGGCATGTAATAATACGGGAGACAAGTTGATATTGCTGAATATTGGCGTGTGTTATGTATGAGACTGGTTAATATTGTTGAATGTTGGCTGTTGGAATGTTGGTGCATACCTATGGTTTGTGAGTGTGAAGTATCAATTAGAAGAGGAACTTTAGGAGTGACTTTAGGCGGTGCCTGACTGACTGTATCCTGCACGCCATGAGTTGCTGTCACATTCGGAAGATCATCCGTTGTGACAGAAGGCTGAAACTTTTGTGGCACTTTAGAAGGAGGTCGCCGGATGGGAAAACCAGCTTGAGATATTGAGTCTACACTAGCTAAGGAATGACCAGATTCATGCCGAATAGTCTTATTATCCGATTCGGCTAGCAGAATTCCGGCTGTAATATGAAAAATATATTAACTATGAACAACAAAATGCTCAACATAACAATAATCATAGTAGTAATAATCAAAATAATGCTAAGAAAATTATAGTTCTGATAGTAATAAGAATAATCATCCTAATAGTGGTTGAAATAAGTATCAATATAATGCTAAAAATAATGACCATCTTTATAATGATTATAATGGTAACCCTAATAGAGAATAATATTCCTGATAATGTTCAGAATTTTTTTTTAATGATAATGCCGAGAATAATAATCCTAATTATAATATAAAAATAGTCCTTATAATAATAATAACAACAGCTCTTATGATAGTTAGCATTATAGCCCTTTAAAATAATAACTTTGATAACAAGTAACTATTAACATTACAAATAACTATTCTAATAAAATGAACGTATTAATAAAAACAGTTATTCGGTTAGAAATGCAAAAGTCTTTATTAGTTGCTCTGGAATTGTATAGTTCAATGTCTTTTTACTAGTTCAGTTGTTCAAATTAAAGATTAATATTTAAATTTTTGTGGAGGTTTAAAATAATCAATATTTCATTGTATGAATCATTACAACAATCTTAACTCATGAACTTACTTGCAGCAAGGACAGCTAAGCAAACAGCAACAGCAACAATAATTAGTATTAAACCACATAAAATAAGTCTTCTCCAGCCTGGACAAAGTTTCCGACTTTCTTCAGTGAAATATAGTTTTTCACCCCTAAAACAAATAGTCAAAAGGCATAATGAGCATTTTTTATAAAAATTATTTCTTTCATAAATGAGCGCTGTCAAATAAAATTGAGCGGAAGAATGTGATACATTTTGAATCTCCATAAGAAAATTAATTTTGACATAATGTGTTTTTTCTTAACTGGATATTTAGGATATCACCGAAAACAATACAGGTTTATCATCTAAGTTATCAATTTTTTTTTAAATGTACAGCTGATTCAAGAGGAAAAATGAGAATCGTAGTAAATAGTTATGAGGGGAAAAAGACAATACTACTTCAGCGCTTTATAGCTACATTCAAGTAATTTAGTTTAATAGCATTTTTGAAGGACAAAAGTAATATATATTGTCAGATATCGTTTTATTTTTCGAAATCTTTGAAAACCGACTTATTTGCGTCAGGTGATTAGCTAGTCTAAACAGTCTATATGGTAAGCTCGGAAAGTAATTTCAGTATCTTTATTGTGCGGGTTCTAGTGCACTCAGATCATATTCGGTAAAGGGACATTCAGCTTGCACGTGCATGTCCCCTTGGCGACTCTGTCATAGATCATCCACGGAATAATTACAGGCGTTTTTGTGAAGAAGCCTATAGAAGCCAGGAGCACTATAGGCTGCCATAAAAGTTTGTAACTCAGCAAGTACGTTTCCTATGATAAAGACAGTCTTAAGTGATGCTTGTTTATCGGAACGCCAAATGAAATTTTTGAAGGCATTGAAATGGTCAGCGATTAAGCTTGTGCTAGAAGGCCACCGTCGACGAAAATTTGAAGGATTTTTTAAACTCAGACAGGTGTTTCAGTTATTAATTTAAAAACTTTCGAGAATGAACATTTCATTTTACAATCAATTGTATACTTCATGATAATGGACCTTGTCACTATGTTTCTTCGTGGCCCTCTTCCAAGTAAATTCAAAGTTGCCAATACTTCAGGCATGCCTAGAGTTCGGACATGGCTCATCCAGAATTTCTCTAGTTCTGGCACTTGAAATCCCTTGTATGATGACATGATTTTTGGGACAATTGATAGAATCGAAAGGTTTATTACAACGACACAATTTATTATTTTGAAGATTTTTAAAGTTAAGTAGCAATTAATTAGTAAACTAATTTGGAAAATTTGAATTTTTTTTTTGTTCTTATTTTTAAATATGAATTTTGAAACTCATTTGGGAGGGAGGAGCAGTTGTCTGTTCTACGCCGCTTCAATTTATAAATTTAAAGCGATTTCTAAATAGAAAAAAAAATTGCATGCTATTTTTCAGTCTTAAAACCTATTTGTACTCAAAATTCCAGCCCATTTAACGAGTTATACTTGGGGAGCATATGTGAAAGATATTTTTAATAAATTTTCAAATGTTTAAAATGGAACAACAACAACAACAAGAAAAAAAAACTATTTCACTTATGGAATAAAAATGACACTTATTGAAACAAAAGACAGTACAAGGAAATAAATCATGCATTAAAATGTCATTAACTATAATAAAACAATAATGTAGGAATTAGAAAAAAGATTAGAATCATAGGAAAGGTTTTGTGATTTGACAGCATAGTACTCAAGAATTTGGCTTGAGTTGGAGACAGAAAAAGGTTTCATTTCCAAGTAGGATAGTAATCAAGAATTCGACAATACATGACTTCACTACTATGACTGAAATCATCATAACATTCAATAACACACAGGATAGGATAATGTTCGCTTTTGAGCATTTAATACAATGATGTGAAGGGTTTACATGCAAAACAATGTTGACATTCAAACAAAGGATGGGGCGGAGAAACTGATTAAAACGTCACAATCTTTAGTTTTTTATTCTAATAAACTTACGTGGACTTGGTTTCTGATAAACTACTAATGGATCCTTCGCGGCTGAAATTAAAGAAACAAAAACACATAATTGAAATATCATATTCAAAATTTTATCGCTCTAAAATATTATTCCTCTGCTTAAGTAAATTGAATGTTTAATTTGGTCTTTCGCTCTTCTTTTGAATTTAAAACTCTTCAATGGAGAAACACAGAAACACTATATTTAAAAAGCATGTATAAAATTAAAGAATCAGTTTAAATCGAGGGGAAAATTTAATATTTGACTATAATTAAACGGATTTTTCGAACGTAAGAAATATTTTTATTTTCATATGTGTGCTGTATACTTTTATGCAGGTGTAGCGATCACATGAAATCTTTTTGCCATATATGTCTTCAGAATTCAGAAATCCTCTTTTCAGTAGGTAAAAAACTGCTATTATTATGGACAGAATGTTATAGATATTAATAAATATATAGAAAAAAAATATTAACTTTCGTAAAAATTATTTTTACCAGCCCTAGTAAGCTTTCTAAAAACAATTTATGCAACATTTGTTTTTAAACGTTTACTAATTTTCAGAGTTCTTTTAATTGTTTGAATAATGCTTATGTCCGTGATTAGGATATTGGTTAGCGTGCAAATGTCACACATTATTAAAATTTCAGACATACATTTAATTTTGGCATTGTTAAAAGTCTTTCTACTTACGACACATCAATTCTTATTGATGCCCTAAATCTTGTGTTCCACTAATATTAATGCTCTAGTTTATTAACTTTTGCCCCGCTCCTGCATTATCAGAAATGTATTTTGCTTTTATTTGCCTCTTTTGACTTCCACCGTCCCTGCGAATCGTATTTCCCAGCAATTAATTTATTCACTGGCACCTGTGCCTTTTTATATTTATAACTCGCTTATAAGTTTTCATTATTCATGTGTTGTAGTGCTGATGTGTAGCGTCGGTTTTTTTTTCTTAAGTTTGTTAAGTTTTCTTAAGTTGTAAATTTCTTAAGTTTTCTTTTTTTTAAGTTTGCTTTAAGCTTCTAAACTAAAAATTACGTTTCAGTGTTTTGGGATTATTCGTTTCTTAATATAAAACTATTCTATAAATAGGTATGCATTTAAAAATTTCTTGGGTAAAATATTGAGAGGAAAAAAATTCATGTGTAGTGCGAAAAAAAAGTTTTCAAATACAAAATTTCGGAAGTGAAAATTCTTCTCTCTCTTAAACTAAGTATTGAAGGAAAATTTTTAAACGGAAAAATTTCCAACTTTTTAATATTTTACAATAAATGCTGTTCTTTTTATCCGTAGCTCTCATGTGATTTTTGTTCCGGAAAAGCTAAGTCACGTGAGATCTCGAATATGCACTTTTTGAATAATTTCATTAAGCACAGTGGAAACTTTAAAAAACGAAATTAAATCTGCAATATCAATACTTTGTGTTTTTAAAACAGTTCGGCAATCGTATTCCATAGCGATCACATCCCTACCTTCAACCTACCTCAGGCATTTTCTATGGCTGTTGACCGGCAAGCTAACCTCGTCGCTGGACTTAGAAGTTCCATTAAGTTTCTCACTATTAAACACACCCTCTGCACCAGAATTCACATGAGTCTCTGCCCATACACCGTTCTTACTATTGGACAGTTCAGCTTCCACTTCAGCCTTTTTATCAAGACCAAGTGTCTTTTTATCATCGACTTCGTAAGAAGTAGGAATAGTTTCTAACGGTATACTTTCCCTTGTAGATTGAGGACTACTTGACGTGCGGTTCTTGACGCGCACCCTTCCACCAGTAGTGAAACTGATGACGGCATCATCAGGTATTGACACGTGCGTGCTGTCAGAACCATTCAATATCTTTCTGTCCATGTCGTCAGCTGGTACGTAATGACGTAACCGTGTATCCAGCGGTTTTTGTGTGGAGTCTATGTTATTGTGATCTGCTACATCTTCATCGTCCTCTTCCTCTCCCAAAACGACCACGGCGGTACCGTTCACCGTAGATGTCGAATAGCTATTAGATCTTTCGTGAGCGTGACCGTTGGCCAACGGCACATCACCGTCTGTCCGACGTCCGTTTTCTGTAACCACAATTCGCAAGCGGTCTTCATCTTTGGAAGATTCTTCTTCTTCGCCTTTTCTATCACATGGATGATAACCGTTATTGTCGTAGCCGTTGGCAACGCTTTCTTTCTCGTGATGAACCTGGAAAAAAAAATCAATATTAGTAGTAGTAATAAAAAAAAATGTATATATATATATATACTTTACATTTTCCCTATTCAAGAAATATTAANTGTTGCTGTTGCGAAGGCAAATAAGATATATATATATATATATCTTATTTGCCTTCTGCTTTTAATGTTGCCTTTGATTCACTTTTTTCCCCTCCCTAAGAGTCTATTTTAAAATTAAAAAAAAAAGGTTTCTTTTCTACCTTTTATAAATAAAATAAATAATTTTGTTAATATTTTAATCGTAACGAAATGAGCGATTGCCTAAATGTAAATAACTTACCGACATCTACTTGAAAAAAAAAATTTAACTTAGGGTTCACATATTTTTTTACAGAAAGTTTAACAGTTCACAATTCTCATGCTACAAATTGAATCTTAATATTATTTTCGTATTCCATCATTTTCCTTGCGCATTTTCAATACACCATCATGAATTTAAATTTCATTGTTTTCGCGTAGTAAAACAATAAATAATGCAGACCAAAAAGTGAGAAAAAGTTCTAAAAAACCTTAAAATTGCAGCAACTTCCTTTCTGTGCGTCAAATTACCATTCTATAGTTGCATTCCTGCAGCGTGCCATCATAGTATTTTTTACAAAAAAGTGTAACAGTTAATAAATATCGAATCGATTATTAAGTTTAATAATCGATTATTAAATTTTCGTATTGCATAGCAATCCCTGTGCATATTTTTTTTGCACTTGTTTGTGAATTATCATCACATCATACGTGAAATTACATCGATGTAAATATCACGTTTTTTGGTATCGCAGTTTTAGTACAGCAAAACAAACTGCCACGTTAAGTTGAACATCCAAATCAGAGGAGAAATCGGTTTACATTCGTGGCAAGTAACAGTTAAAATGGCGACAAAAAAAATGATGGTATTTCATCGTCATTTTTCTGTATTGTATTGTGCATTGAAGATGATCAGTCAGCGTAGCAGGCTTGCTATTTTATTTATTATATATCTATTATTTTTAAACTTGTTTTCTGTATTTCACTGTTTATTATTGGTGATATTTTAAAAGTGCAAGAAAAGAAATGGATACGATATGATAAAATTTAAATTTAATATTACTCTCTCTTCTCTTAAAGCATGATATTAACTGGAAAATTTCTTGATCTTGACTTTTTATAAATTAAAACAGCAAACAGCGTGCAAATCTATTAAATGTTAGCTTTTTTTTTTCTTCACAACTTAAGCAATTAATGCAAGACAAAATCGGCAATTTCAAAGTGTTATATATTTTTGACCTTTAAGTCTTGTTGAGGATTGCAAAATCTCTTCCTAAATTGGGGTTATTGGCCTTATTATGCTTAAAGTGTTGCGAGTGAAAGTGAAATTTCGATGAAGAAAGGCTTTTAGCCACCTGAGGGATAATTGATAAACTGTTTAGAATTAAATTAATTGCTTTACTTTTACACCATTATATAGACCTTCAGAAGTTTCTAGACTTTTCGTCATTGATTTTTACAAGTATTTGCAGAAAATTTTACAATAAATTTTTTGAAACGGGAATTAAACACCTTGATGAATAATTATATATGCAAATGTCGGCAAACATTTAACCACCTGGATTTTTCATGGACAAATAGCAAACCTAGGTCTTTGAGGTTTCAAAAGTGAAAACTAAACATTTTGGTTGAATTACGCATAAAAGTGCTGTTTCAATTTTAAGTTTGCTGTCAAAATTCTTTGAAATTGATTTTGCATAGTGGCCAGCGCTTATGATTGTTAAGAAAGATTTAAACAAGTGGAGTTACCAAAAATTTAGGCCCCTTGAGTAACATTTAAAAGCATAACTGCCTAACTAATAGATCTTATAATCATATGTTTGAAGATTTTATTTACCTTAGTTTTCAAAAAATAAAAAAAATAATAATAATAATTTTTTTTTATTAAAATCTAATTGTTGCTATCAATAAAAAAATTTTCTCCTCTAAGATTTATAAGATAACAGCCATGTTTCTGATACTGGTTCAGACATCCAAGAAAAATTTAAAAAAAAAAAAAAGAAAAAAGAAAAAAAAAGCATTATTTAGTAATTAACATAACCCTCGTTAGTTAAACTAAAATCCGATTATGTAACCAAAAGTATTTCGCACATAATTTTGCTCACAAATATGCATAAGTATTTTGTAAGTTTTATGCTTTGTTGTATATGATTTTTTTTTCCTTTTAGAAAAAAAATTATCGAAAGAGGAAATAGAAAATCGCTTCCTTTAGTGGTGTCTGCCGCATTTATCTATGAATCAATTACCATAACCTCTTAATCATAACAAAATAAGTATTTTATACTAAATTTTTACGCATTCTTATTTTTAAAGTCATATTTTTTACATCGGAAATGTTTGGAAATGTTTAATAACGCTTCTTTTTCATGGACAAAAAACTTTCGTAAAAAAGTTTTATAAGTTGCTGTTACGAGCTCCAAAAACGAAATACAGATCATTTTAAAGAGTGAGAAAGAAAAATTTCAAAAGTCGATGCGAAAAAAATATAAAATCATTATGCAAATGCTTTAATAACTGTAACTTTTTGAGTTATAATCCAACGTTGCACTTCAATATCGATATTTTGAGTTAAATTGTATAAATTGGCAGCAATCTTAATACGGCTAAGGTATAAGCTCAACCATATTATTATACAATTAAGTTTAAAATAGTTTAATTTACACGATAATATGGTTTAACTTGAGACTGTATTGGTTTCTGGATATTTGCACGCTATAATACTTCAGCACTGCCCAAATTTTCAATACTCTCGTAATAAAAATATAACTCTTATTCAATTATAGTTTTAAAAACACTTGATTAAATGCTTAACACTAGTTAATGACAACACATATTTTAAAGTAGAATGGTAGACGCAAGCCGTAAAAATTTTTTGAAAAAAAGATTCTGCCCTTTAAAAGACAGGTAAACTGTGAATTCGATTTTGAAACTCAGTATCAAATTTTATCTGAGCAATAAATCGTGTGTTATATTTTCTAAAAGAGCAGGTGGCACTGTACTTAACACACTCACTGCTGAGTGTAATGTCTGACATTTCTTTTAAACTGGAAGTAGTTTCGTCTATTGTTTCCAAGAACTTAACAAGAAAGTGAATGTCAGTGGAATGACTTGATTATCAAACCTGTCGACAAATTGATAAGAAGGTGTCTGCGGTCAGAGCACCCTATTTGCGAACCTACCTGGATTCTAGATTTCCAGAAAAGATCAGAGAAAGTAAAAGTATTTGAGGGTCTATGTTTAGTTTTTCAAACACATGTCAGTTCAACACGGATAACAAAAAGTTAAATTTATATGCATGTGTGTGTATATATATAATATACGTATAAAGTTCACATGATATTTTAATATTCAACTTACTGAATATCCAAAGTTAGACTGTTGGTTTTTAAAAATTAATAACATTAAGAAAGAGTTAAGGTTTTTTAAAAAAGAAAAAAAAAACTTTCGCAGCAAATTCATGTACGAGGGCATCTCCCAAAATTTTTGGCTTTAGTTTCAAACAGTTTTCGTTAAGGTAATATATATGCAAATCAAGGAAAGAAAATAATTGAAAATCACATCACAGTTTTTCAAAATGTGAATTTTAGTTATTTTTATTTGATTTATAGATGATATGGAATACAACAAAATTAAAGTTTGCATAAATTGCACGAGATATTTATTTTTAAAAAAATTATTAGTAAGGAGCTTCTACTGTTTCACTTTACTATACTCCCATATGGTACTCTTGCTTTAAAAACAAAGTTTATAANGTGAAGGATTAAACAAAAAAACTCTCACAGAAAATTCATGTACGAGGTCATAAAAGTTTCCTCCCAAAATTTTTGGTTTTAGCTGTAAACAATTTTCGACAGATGGCGTTAAGCGTTAAGGTAATATACATGCAAATCATAGAAGGAAAATAAATCGCATCAGTTTTTCATAACGTGAATTTTAATTATTTTTATTTGATTTATAGATGATATGGAATACAACAAAATTAAAGTTTGCATAAATTGCACGAGATATTTATTTTTAAAAAAATTATTAGTAAGGAGCTTCTACTGTTTCACTTTACTATACTCCCATATGGTACTCTTGCTTTAAAAACAAAGTTTATAAGACAATTTCATGACGCTGTTTTTGTAATCAGCACAATCGTTATATTTATAAACAATTAGCTGTCAACATTTTAGTCTGCATTTAGTCAATCTGATGCTCAAAAAAGTTTAGATTCCAGCAGCACGAAACATGGAAATAAAATTAAAAGGTTCATATAAAATATAAGTTAACAGGTAAAAATAAAATTAATTTTGGCATTTCTTCGAAATGTTCGATGCGTAACCCACTGAATTTACATTATTTTTATACATTAAATCATCTGTGCAACGTGAAAACAAAACCTTAGGATGCAACAAAGTAGAAAGCAAATCGATAAAAGTGAAAGCTTAATTTTTCTTTTCAAATTATGAGATTTACCTTTCATGCAAATTTCAATAAAAATGACGCACATTTAATTTATCAACATCTGACCGTAATAATAATATAATATTTCAATATTACATTCTCGACGCAATACAATTTGAAAAGAAACATGGCGTCAGAAACGATTTCTTGTAAAAATAAAAGAACTGAAAAGAAAATATTTATCAGAAAAACCAGAATTTGAGATAAATGACTCCAGTTACTGAACTGACCAACCTTGAAAAGAACTACAGTTAATCATTTTCCTTCTTGTCATATTTTAATAAATAGTCAGAAGAATTGGGACATCATTAAAGAACGACATCTGTGATGGATGTGACATTAAACTTCCTTGGAAAGCTAAACAACTATCGTACTTTTATGAATAAAAATAATGTTTAACAGCTTCTGATATATTAAATTAATTTATTTTTTAGTTTGAGTATGAATTACTTTAGGTATTTATATTCATTAATTAAAAATTACTTATGACTGATGCTATACCAT